TGTTTTGCTTGGGTGTCTCCCATTCAGATAGTGACCCAGCACTAGCCATGCTCAGCAACCAGGATCTGACTGGGTCCCAGCACAGACCGCTGGGGGACAGGAGGCACAGACTTAAGCCTGACATCCATCCTCCTCCCCTTGCCTTTCTCACCCAGCAAACATGTCCTGACAGAAGACATTGTGCACCGGGAGGTGACAGCGGACCAGAAGCTGCTCTCCAGGCGGCTCCTGACCAAGACCAACAGGATGCCGCGGTGGGCAGAGCGCTTCTTTCCTGCTAACGTCGCCCACTCTGTGTACATCCTGGAAGATTCCATTGTGGACCCGCAGAACCGAACCATGACCACGTACACCTGGAACATTAATCATGCACGTCTTATGGTGAGTGGCAAGGGCAGCAAGCAGTGAACCGGACCACAAACGCTGCTGCCTGAGGTAACCAGCTCCTTCACCCCAGAGCCATCTGGTCCCCTCAGTCCAGGGTGCATGGGCAGTGGGAGCACTGAGCTGATGCTGCTGTCATCTCCTGCAGGTGGTGGAGGAGCGCTGTGTTTACTGTGTGAACCCAGAGAACAGCAGCTGGACTGAAGTCAAACGGGAAGCATGGGTCTCCTCCAGTCTGTTTGGCGTCTCCCGAGCCATCCAGGTGAGTGGCTGCCATGTTCAGTGCATCCCCAGAAGCCTGATACACCCTGATGCTGCAAGCACCAGCCCTGTGGCCGATAGAGGCTGATTCTATTGGGTGCTTAGTTTGCAGCCCACAGGGACCCCCATGGTACAGGGAAGGAGGGAGGCTTGCAACTCCGGTCTCTCTTGTTGCAGGAGTTTGGCCTGGCCAGGTTCAAGAGCAACGTGACCAAGAGCACCAGGGGTTTTGAATACGTGTTAGCTAAAATGCAAGGTGAGTGCCTTGGCCTCTGGGGACAGGCGGGGCCTGCACTGGCAGCAGGTGGGTCTGGGGATGGCAACGTGATTTTCCAGCCAAGTGTTGTTAATGATGTCACAGCCCTGCAGCCACCTCTGGATTGCAGCTGCCCTCACCTCCCCCTGTGGGAGCTGGCCCAGTCCCCAGCCACACATCCCTGAACATTTCTCTGCACCCCCCCTCGGGGGGCACATCCCACAGTTTGGGGACCTCTGTTCTAGTGGGGTTAGCGGCTGGCCTGCAGCAAGGTGTGGGGAGGGTGGTTAAAAGGGCTCCCTGTGCTCAGGAGGTGGGTGAGAGGTTCCAGCAGTGTCAAGTGGGCGTGCGCTGCACCCACTAACCCACCGGGAGGCAGCCTGCCATCCGCAGCCTAATGAGGCACCTGGCCTGTGCCGCCAGGTCTCCTCCCTGCTGCAAACCCTGAGGCTACACAGGGCATGCTCTAAGCAGATGCTATTGAAGCCAATAAAGGAACTGGCGCACACCCTGTTGTGCCAGGACACTGGCTCTAGCCCCAAAGAGGCTGTGACTGCTTGTATCAGCCTGTTACCAAAGAGCAAGAGGAACCTTTCTATCAGGGCTGCAGCCCTCTGAGATCCTGGGCTATGGGGAGTGCAGGGGAGGAGCCCTGCTGGGCTACGCAGCTGGGTTACACTTGCTCCTTGTAGGAGAAGCTCCCTCCAAGACGTTGGTGGAGACGGCGAAGGAGGCCACTGAGAAGGCCAAGGAGACAGCCTTAGCAGCCACAGAGAAAGCCAAGGACCTGGCCAGCAAGGCTGCCACCAAGAAGAAGCAGCAGTATGTGTGAGAAGCCAGCCCCCTTTGCTGCTGGCACGAGTGCAGAATAGCACTGGATAGCTCCGTCCCGCACCTCACAGCGGACAGGAGCCTCTCTAGAGTTTATATTTTTTAATTGAAACTGTACAAGTCTGACAATCAGCTGCAGCGAGATCCTTACTAAGGTGTAACTATCATTAAAGAATCTACTTCCACCAGGGGCGGGGCTGGACAATGACAGGCTGGCAGTGCTCTGCACAGGTTCCAGTAGTGGCCTTGGAATGGGGGTGTCTGGCCCCTATCCCCACTGACCCTGCCAGACCAGCAGAGCACTGAGGGACAACCCTGTGGTCCTGACTGGAGCTCTGGCCAGCTGGGACCCACAGCAGCTTCCTGGGGCTGCTGCTTTGCTGAGGTGCAGGCTCTCTAGAGTTGCAGAAACTCCCATGGCAGATGCTCCCTTGCAGCACCTGTGATGGGCAGGCCCCTACCAGAGCTGTCTGCAAAGCAGGGGGAGCCCCATTCCCCACTGGAAGGCAAGCAGCACGCTTGCTTCCCTACTTACAATGAAGGCTTCTCTCTGTTCCGAGGGAGAGCTGGGTTGTCTCCTCCTCCCCTGAGTGCAGTATTTATTGCCCCAGCAGCAGAGCAAGGCGCCCTGGCACAACTCTGCATGCCCCCACAGCAGCAGGCTGCTCCCACTCACAGAGGGTGACTGTCCCCTCTCCCACAGGCCCCATCCCGGCAGCTCCAGCCACTTTAGCTATTGGAAACCAGGCCAGACAGCTCCCTCCCCATGCCAGCCAGTGAGTTTAGGCCCCCTCGAAGCTGGCCAGGTGCTGCCAGGCTGCGCCCCAGGGAGGCCTCAGCCTGGGGGTTTGTCTGGAAAGATGACTGCCAGACTCTGCACACCCCTTGCAGAGCCCTCCCTGCAGGAGCTGTGGCCCAAGGGGGTGGGAGGGCAGGGGCCTTTCCTGCAGGAGGCTCTGCAGCTGTAGCGAGGGGGGCATACTCTGCTGCGGCAGGCTCTGCAGAAGAAACAATCCTGGGACGAGAGCCCTTGGGAGTCGGTGTGGTGTGCTCCTGCAGGACCTGCCCAGAGAGGCCTGTGTGGGGAGCCCTCGCTCAGGGCACCATCTGGCATAACCAAGATTTGCTGGAGCAGCTGCGTTCCCTGCCGGTGCTGAAACTGGCCAGTCCTTCCCCATCGCTGCCACCTCATGCCAGTCCTTCCACATGCGTCTCGGCCTCGGGGCGGGAAAAGGCAGCCCGAGCTGGAGCTGCCGGAGATGCCCGGGCCCAGCTGGCCAAGCCACGAGAGGGCCCATTCACAGCCCCCTACAGCTGCAGATGCATGGAAGCCGCTGTGGGATTCTGGGGTGAGGAGTAAAGAAGCCTCCCTGGGGGAGCAGGACAGGGGCCTCTCTGCCCTGGCTCAGGGTGCGGGGCAGAGGATGCACCAGCAGCCATTGCTGAGTGGTGTTACCAACGCAGCTGCAGCAAGGGGAGGGCCCAGCCCAGCCCTGGGGTTCTGGGGCATTGACTTTGGTCGCTGCTTGTGAGAGAGCCTGGAAGAGTCCACGGCCTTGGCCCTGATTCCCTGGCTGCTGGGAGCAGAGAGCAGCTGCTCACACCTCAGCCTGTCCAACCTCCACACCCTCTGTCATCGAGGCACCAGGCTGGGCTGCTGGGAGCGGACGGGCCAGGTGCAAGAGCCTTCTGGACCAGAGCCCTCCTGGGCTTCACAGCTCATCTTTGCTGCTCAGCGGGCTCTGCCCCCACGCGCTGGGCAGGGAGAAGCCCGGCTCCCCGAGGGCTCACCCTGCTCTGCAGCGGGGCCAGCGCAGGCGGCTGAGGGGGGTGTAACGGGAGCCCTCCGCTCACTGGATCCTGCTGCTCTGTGCAGGCGATGCGAGCTCAGGGCTAGCCCCCAACCAGGCAGAGCAGGGCCCCTGGCACCCCTAGCTCCAGCGGGCGGCATGGGACAGCCACTTGCCCCTCCTAACCGACGCCTGGCCGATGCGTGGGAGAACCCAGAGCCAAGCCTGGGCCGGGCCGGGCCAACCCAGCCCAGCCCAGCCGGCACCTGCTGCGCAAACCCCACAGGCCGGGCCCGCTGTGGCCTTGCCAATAACTGGACCCCTGAGGCCCCACCCTTTCCCACCAAGGTCCTGCCCCCCACGCTCCCTCTCTCGCTGGATCCCTCAAGGAGCCCACCTGGCAGCTGCAGGTAGGAGATGCCCAGGCTGAGCAGGGGTTGGTGCAGGTTGATGGCCAGAAACTGGGCCCCTGGCCACCCTAAATGGTACCTGGGCATAGAAGCCAAAACCTGGCCAGGTGGCAGCTCTCCCTGCCCATCCCCATTGTCCCCTGGCCTGGCCCCCACCCCACCCCCCAGGCACTCGCTGCCGTACAGCAGCAGGGCAGCATAGGCAGAAGGACGTGCCTGCGGGCACCAGGAGACAGGCCACAGCATGGGCAGGACAGAGCCCCTCGTCCCTCCCCCGCCCAGGCTGAGTGGAGCAAGCCCTGCTCGGTGTTTGCAGACATTAGGGGTGGGGGGCAAAGCCCTGCTCAGTGTTTGCAGACATTAGGGGTGGGGGGGAAAGCCCACCCAGCCTAGGCCCACGGCTGGCAAGGGTTACGGACGCTGTGCCTCCCCCAGTCTGGGGTAACTAGTCTTCCTATTCAAAATCCAGACAACTGGTGACCACCTGCGTTTGGAGCCAGGCTGCCATCACCCGCGCTGAGCAGGGACCGTACAGCTCAAGGGTCCTGCATTCCTGGGCCAGACCCACACCTGGCCCCCATTTGTAAAGTCATCCTGCAGGGCCAAGTCCCAGCCCTACAAGCATGCGGCATAAGGGATGTTTTCTGGGCTTGCCTGTGCATGGCTTCCTCCCAGAGCCAGCCACGGCCCCCTCTGCAGGGCTGTGCTGCCTGCCCCCCGGGGAACGGAGGGGAGCTGCATTCAGCCACCACCCCCCTTTCTCTGGGCTGCAAACTTGGATCCTGAAAACAAGTTGTAATAATGTCCCCCGTTCTCCCACGGTTCAGGGCTTACTCCAGCAGCAGCTAATGTTCCTGGTTTACTGCATTACTTGAAAACCAAACTTCATTTTGCTTGTGCACAACCTGTGCCATTCATGGATGCAGGTAACCTGCTTCCGCCACCTGCCCATCTTTAAAGGGACAAGAGCCACTGAAACAAAACATAACTTTTGCCATTGCTTCTTAAGTATGCACGTTACACACAGAATCGTTGTCCTACGTTCCAGCCTAGCTGGGTGCTTGGATGCACTTTTTTAGTGAAAGCTTGGTTGCCCCTCGTGGTCAGGGTCACAGGCCAGCCCATCAGCGAGCACCAGGAGCGGGGGACTCCGCAAAGCTGCAGACAGGGCCAAAGAGAGCTGTTGGTTGGCGTTTCATTTACTAGGCTCTACGCTGGCAGGTGTGGGACTGAATGGGAGCTTGCCTGAGAAAGGGCCTGCTGCACCGTGCCAGCCACATGCGGGTGCCCAGCCGTGGCTGTGGCCACTCTTCCACAGGGCACTAGCCTTCATCCAGGCTAGGGCTTGTTCTTCCTGGCAGAGCTTTCCACCAACCCTACCCAGGTGCAGGCTACAGCCTGGGCCTAGAACAGCTGCAGCTTCCCTAACCCAGCCAGGAGCTCAGAGCCACGATCCTCCCCTCCAGCCCTCTCGGGAGCAGAACCATGCAAGGACAGAGGTACCTATCCCACCACGGGGCTTGGGAGAGGAAAGTGTGAGCGCTTTGAGACCCTGGTTGGAAAGAGGAAGAGAAACTCTCCCCCCACACACACAGTGGCAGGGGACAAGGAACAGCTCAGGAACCTCCTGCAGCCCCCCGCCCCCAGAGTCAAGGTGCAGCCCACACTGACCGATGCCAGTGGGCAGGACCACCCCATTGGGCCAGCCGGGCCCCTATGCTCACTGGGATGCGGAGTCTCCCGCGGCAGCCGCTTCCTCTGCACTCCACAGGGGCAGCTGCCTGCATTCCAATCTGCTCTGTGCCTGTTAGCTGCTGCCTCGGCTGGGTAGAGTCTAGGGGCTCCGGGTTTAGTCACTGCTCATGCCAGACCCTGCAGCACCCAGAGCCCCTCTTGCCCCCGGCAAGGCTGGGCAGCCCTCGAGATACAACACTGAGGTTTTCCCAGCCCTGCTTTCAACAGAGTGTGCAAGGGTGGGCTGGCTTCTGGCACCAGTCCCAGTGGCTGATCTGAGCTGTTCAGTGAGTAGGACAATGCACCTTGCCCACAGCATGGGGCAGGCAGGGATGGAGAGAAGAGAGGAGGAGTCCTCCCCCTGTTCCTAGGCCCCCCACCGTGCCTTGGTGCTGCAGGGGAGGCTTGCCACTGTCACCAGAGCCAGCACTTAGTACCCTGCCATGCAGGCCCAGACCCCTGGCCTCAGAGCTTCCTTGGGACACGAACTGAGCTCCTGAACCCACCCGGCTTCGTTTGGGAGAGTGGCACAAGAGGCTGGGGCACTAGGCCCAGCTCATGGCCAGGTGGCCAGCACCAGGCTGCGTTCTCTGCAGTCACTTCAGGAAGCAGACCCTGCCTGTCCCAACGCCTCGAACTAGGAACAGGGAGGAGCACGTCAGGCGAGTCCGGCTGGGTCACCGTGGAGCCGGTTCTGTTGCCAGGGGGATCTGCTGTGGTCAGAGTGAGCAGGAGTGGCTGGAGTGCAGTGCCCGCAAGTCCAGGCACCATCCCTGTGGGCCCTCCCTTTCCTACCGAAATGGCAGCTGGAGTGCAGCTGGCTGGCTCAGATCCAGGGAGGGTGCACGTGGGGATCTGCTGTCTCCACAGCCCACCCTCCAGCTCAGACAGGGATTCCTTGACTTAAAGATAAAAACCCCATTGCAAGAAGTAGTGAGAGCCCTTCCGGGAGCTCCCCACCAGGTCTGTGCAATGTCCCGGCCCTCTCCGTAGGTGGTGCAGGCTGCCAGAAGCCCTGAGCAGTCTTTGGTAGCTTTCCGAGGTAAAGGGTGTGCGATGATCCACGCCACTGGGGCCGCCAACGCACGCAGCCGAGAGCGGCTCAGGGGCGGCTGGGGGTCGGGGGCCTGGCGGGGAGGTGCATGGTGTAGCAGTGAGTGCAGACACGCACTGGCTTCAGGAGGCCGTAGTGAGGGAGCGGCGCCGTGTGCTGGGAGCAGCGAGAGCAGAAGATCTGCCAGGGAAAGAAACTGAGCCATGAGTGAGGGGCGGCGCGCGGGAATCCAGCTCCGGCCCGCTGCAGGGCCACCCGAGGCAGGGGCACCCAGCGCGCCCAAGGGCAGCAGCCGTGAGCACTTGCCTGTTCCTGCATCCGCCAGTCCACACAGCCCTCCCCCCGTGGGCCCCACCACCCACTCAGAGGCTGGGGAGGAGCCAGTCTGGGCTGCCCAGGAGCAGCCCCGCTGCCAACGGGGCTTCGTTTGCCCCTCCTCGCCGCCCCACAGGCGTCCGCTGGCAGGAGCCCCCTGCCCGAGCCCGGCTCCCTACCTTCCCGCAGCTGCGGCAGTGGTGACGCCGGCGGACCACGGAGAAGGGGGCCCGACATGCCGGGCACCGGCTGCAGGTGCTGTCCGGCACCCAGGGCGGCAGCCTGGAGATGCCTGCGGAGGGACAGGAGGAGGGCGGCTGGTGAGACGAGCCGGGCCCCGAGGAGGCGCATGAAGAAACCAGATCCTGCCGCGTGCCAGCAGCAAGGGGCGGGCAGAGCGGCTCACGCGGACACGGCCAGCCAGGCACCGACAGTCCCCACCACTGGAACGCCTCCCCGGCTGGCTTGCTCCTCCTACACAGGACTCAGCCACTTGCCCACCGTCACACAGGGACCTGAGCCCCTAACGACTGGGCCAGCCTGCCGCTAGTCACGGGGGAAAGGCAGCCAGAGATCCGGATCTTTTGCGAGCCCAGGGGCCGGAGCCTCACTTTGCACCAATCCTCAAGTGAGGGGGCGGCCGGGCACAGCCGGGCCTGCCCAGAGCTGGGAGGGGAGCATGCTGGAGAGGAAGGGCCTGCTCCAAGGGTTCGATACCTTTCACAGTGAGGGCATCCCAGGGGCTGGCCCCGGGCTGGAACAGGTGCTCTCAGCTTGGCCAATTAGGAGGGCGGGGCAGCACCTGGGCGCAATAAAAGCTCAAGGAGAAGAGGTTTCCCAGGGGAGGGGTGGACCGGTCTGAGGTGACCTTAACAGAACCTGGGGTCTGGCTGGGAAGAGCAGGTGCACTCGGGGAAGGGCTGGGGTAGCCGTGGGGGCAGAGGTGCAGGAGGGGAGCCTGGGGGGGGTGGCAAGCAGATGCTGGAGCCTGGTGGGTGCTATGTCGAGGGGGCGTTAAGGGCCGTGTCCCCTGACAGGAACGGGCTTGGGCCGGTTCTGCAGGGTGCAAGTGAGGTCAGTCTGCGGGGAGGGGGGGATGAGGGAGCAGTGGGAGGGGGAGCACTCGGGGACCCGCAGGTAACTAGCCACTGGCACAGCTACTACCGAGGGCCGGGGTGGCTCTCTCCTCACTGGAATATGTAAACCCAGCCCAGCTGTTCTCCCAGCCGCTCTAGGCAGCCAGGAATTGCTGCGGGGGCCTCTGCCCTGTCTCACACAGGAGGGCCGACTTGGTGATCACAGTGGGCCCCTGTGCCCTGATCCAGCAACCCAAGAGCTGCTCATGGAAACTGGAACTGTCTGGAACAGGAGGCCGGGGTGGGATCAGACCTTGTGTGGTGCCAGGGTGCTGACAGCAGGGACCAAGGAAGAGTTTATTTAGTCAACAATTAGGGGCCAGCAGGGACCCCAGTCACACCCTACCCCCCTTACCGTCTCCGTGCCCGGTCCTGTTCCCCTCCCTGTGGCTGGAGCACAGAGCACAGTCTGCCAAGGGGGAAGCTTCTCCCGCTTCTTCCTCCTCTGGGGTGCAAGGGGAAGCGTCAGCACCATGCACACAGGAGCTGTTCGCAGCAGGGAGGGGCTGGTTTCTGCTGCTCAGCTCCCTGCTTCGCGACCCAGCAGCGTGCCAGCAGGCGCACGCCCCGCGGGCAGAGGGCTGGGGCCCCACAGCACAAGGCGATGCTGCTTGTAGCCCGCAGCGTGGGGCTGGTGCTGCACATCAGCTCCCAGACAGTCCCGCAGCTTTAGAGGCCAGCCGCATGCTCCAGGGCAATTGCTCGGCCCCATCAGGGCAGTCCCCGTACCACAGCGTGGGGTGTACTTTGTCTGGGGTGCTGCCTGAGCCGTGTGCTTGGCCATCGCGCCTCCCCAGCCCTGGACCCTCCCCAGGGCAGATTTGGGAGCCAGCATCATGCAAGGGGCTCCCTGCTTGGCACTGCCACTAACCAGCGAGTGACAGACAAGACCGATGGGAGGAGCATCTTCTGGGCCAGCCCCACAGCCACCCCCTCCCGAGAGACTGCAGCTGACGGAGCAGGAGCATCACTCACGGCCGGTATCTGTCCCCACCGGAGCCTCGGGCTGGGACATCACGATGTGGAACACCGTCTTCAGGATGCTCCGCAGGTCGCTGGCGAAGTTGGTCTGCAGCTGGTCTGCCACCCCTGCCCGAGAGAGAGCAGCAGCGTCAGGGCCCGGGGGCCTGCAGCTGCCCCCGAGAGGGGCTCTGCCGGAGTGCTGGTGGCTTGGCCCGAAGGGTGAGATTCAGACAGCGCCAAAGGACTCCGCACTAATGACTCGGTCTGGGGCTGGCCACCGCTGTGTCTGCAGGCAGTTCGGGGGGGGGTTAGCCCCACGCTCAGCATGGGGTGGCCTACGGAGACACCAGCGTCCCCAGACGACAATGGACTTTATAGGGACGTCAGCGAGGTGCTCGCAGAGCTCGGCTCCTCCAGGCCCGCAGACCCCCCCTCGGGTCTCTGGCCGAGGATGCAGCCTGCAGAGACTGCAGATCCCGCAGCAAAGCTCAGGCTTAAGCCAAGCGTTGGCAGGCAGTGCCGGGTGGGACATGTAGCCTCCACGGCTCTCTTGTGCAGATAGGCGGAGCCGCTGTTTTGGGCAGCGTTACCCTCGGGCTCTGTCCTGGGCTGGGCAGCCTGGGCACAGGCACCAGGCCGGGGCTGGCACTCGGCCTGCCGTGTCCGCTTGTGCCCAGCGGCTGGGAGCATGTGTGCATGCCCCCGCCTCCCCCTGCCCTGTTCCAGAACCGCTCCAGGTCCTATGGGCCCAGCTAGCTCCACGCTGCTGCGGCTCCCTCTGTCCCCTTGCGGGGTCCCAGCGGGTGGCAGGACAGTGCCCTCTGATAAGCCGCTGCCCGCTGTGGGGAAGCACCTGGAGGATGCACCCCCTGCAGTCACACCTGCTGGCAAGAGCCATTGCTGCCCCATGGCAAGAGCTGACTAGAAGCAGGTTTCTGTGCGCCTGGCTCACGCTCCCCTCACAGGGCACCCCACTGCCCGCAGCGAGCCCAGGACAGCCCCGTGCCCTGGTCCCGGGCTCCCCCACTGCAGCGCGGGACAGCGCAGGAGGCCAGAGTTTTCTCCCGGCCCGCTGCGCAGAGCACATACCAGAGATGCAGACGAAGAGCGTGTGGATCATGTCCTGGGTGCTGCTGTAACGGGAGCGGAGCTCTGAGCGTGCGCCGGGCAGAACAGCCCCGGGGAGCACTCTGCCCCGGGCACTGCCTGGCTGTTGCCACAGGGGCCTGCTCAGAAGAGAGGAGCCAGTTACACAAGAGGGCACAGGTTGGTCCCCCTTCCCTGCCCCCCAATCAAGCCCCCATCTGATCCGACAGCAGGGCCTTTCCTGCCTTCTTCACCCCCTGCCACCGGCACTGGCCCCTAGTTCAGACACCAGAACTGGGTTTGGTTGCCTCAGGTGACTCGTAGCCACATGGGCTACGAGGCTTGGCCTGGAGGAGGCACTGGTTTGCCCCAGGGAACTGCTCGCTGGGGCCCCTGGCATGGGTATCTGCTCCAGAGCCCGATCATTCATCACCACTTACCTGCCGCTGTTGCCAGGCAGGAGCGGGGGGAGAGGCCTCACCCACCCGTTCTGCAGGCCGGCACAGGCCTCCATGCATCCTCCTGTCAGAGTCGGCTCCTGTGGCCTAGAAGCCACTAGTGCCAGCTGGCCACGGTCTGTGGAGCATGCCCAGGACTGCTGGCCTCTGTCCCAGGGAGGCCCCATGCTGTCAGCGTGCCCTGCTCCCTCTGGCATGGCTGCATGCGTCTGCAGCCGTATGTCCCTGCTGGCATTGCCAGCTCTGCCAGGAACCCCCTGGCGCACAGCCTGAGCAGGTGGCCACAGGCCCGGCGAGGCTGACCCTGTGCAGGCCGCATCCATATCACTAGTCCTCACGCTCAGGGGCCTTTCGGGGAGAGCGTCCGAGCCAGGGGGCACTGGCTCCTTTGCCTCCTCCTTGCCCTTTTGTGGGGCTCCACTCGCAGCCCCTGGGGCTCCAGCTGTTCCGCGGCTGCAGGCCGCCGTGCGCTGGGCTCCTGCAGCAGCTGGGGGGTGCAGAGAGCAGTTGGGGGCGGGCTGCGGGGAGCACCAGGGGGCAGGGCGACGAGTGTCTGGAGCCGCTTCGCCCCTGGGCTCAGGACCAGCTGCGCTGCAAGGACCCTCCGATTCGGCAGCACACAGGGTCTTCTCCAGCAGGGCGAGCTCCTCCTCCGAGAGCACCCGCAGCAGGTCCCTGCCGGAGACGGGCATGAGACCTTCCCAGGCTGGGCCTCCCTCTGCCCTCCCACAGCTGGGGGGCCGGGCAGGGCCAGGCGGGAGGGGAGCAAGGGCAGCTCCATGCCACCGGGCACCTGGGGCCCCACCGCAGCTTGAGCTGGGCCCCTCCCAGGCGCCAGCGCCAGGAGCGCACCGGCGAGGCAGTCTGTGCCGGGCCAGGGGTCGTGCTGCCAAAGGGCACCGCACCCCGGCTTTATAAACCCCACTGGAGCCCCTGTGCTCCCCATTACCCAGCCCACCCCGCTCCACAGCGCTCCCCTTCCCCCTCCCCACTGCCCAGCCCTCCCCACCCTGCTCCCCACCCCACAGCGCTGCCCTTCCCCCTCCCCACTGCCCAGCCCTCCCCACCCTGCTCCCCACTGCCCAGCCCCCCCTGCCCCACAGCGCTCCCCTTCCCCCTCCCCACTGCCCAGCCCTCCCCCTCCCCACCCTGCTCCCCACTGCCCAGCCCCCCCCGCCCCACAGCGCCCCCCTTCCCCCTCCCCACTGCCCAGCCCTCCCCTGCCCCACAGTGCTCTCCCTCCCCACTGCCCAGCCCTCCCCCGGGCACTCCCCCTCCCCTGCCCCATGGCTGCCCCCCACAGCCCAGTGCACCTACCTGATGTTTTTCAGCACGCTGCGAAAGGGGCTGAAGAGCCTGGACGTCTCCTCGGGCCTCCGCTCCAGGCCCAGGGGCCCCTCGGGATAGATGAGGAGCCCACTGCATGCAGGGAGAGGGAGCAGCCCCGTCAGCTCCGCCCTTGGCTGCCCCCTCCCAGCCCTGTCTCAAAGCAAACCCTGGCTCTCGGTCTGGGGCTCCAAACCGGAGGACACCAGCCTCCCACCAGCCGCTGGCCAGTGCCCAGGCCGGGGCGCAGCCAAAGGCTCAGCGAGTGGCTGGAAGGGGCAAGGGGTGGTGCAGGCCCTGTGGTCGGGAAGTGGTTCCAGGTCCCCTTGGGACACACCCGGGGCAGCTGAGCTCACGGGGAGAGGGGCTCAGCTCAGGCGCCCGCAGGCCAGTGACCCTTCTGCAGCAGCAGGGCGAGGAAGTGCCCTGTCCCGGGGCAGCTGCACTGCCTGGCACCCAGCGGAGGGGAGAGCGGGAGCCAGCCCAGGGCAGAGGAGAAGAGATGGGGCAGCTTGGAGTCGGGCAGCCACTGCCCCACCCTGGGTAACTCCTGGGCCACAGCTCCGGAAGCCCAGTGCGTGGGGGGATGCCTGGCTCCACACCACCCTGGCTTGTGCAGCCTCAGCCCCCGAGCACGGAGCTGCCCACTCACCTGATGATGGCCAGGCGGGGGATGGTGAACATCAGCAGCGGCTCGCACCCGTCAATCATGTCCTGGCTCAGGTAGCCAAGTTTCAGGGCTCTGCTCAGGGAGGGCAGAGGCAGGGGGCTTGAGACAGGCTGGGACCACGGGCTTCGTGCCAAAGAGCAGCAGCTGTTGCTTTAAGCCATGCCTGGCAGGTGGGCTGGGGGACCCAGTGAACCTGATGCCCTTTGATTCCCCAGCAGGCTTGCTGGGGGCGCCCCAGGAACGCTCTGTGAGCGTGACCCCAAGGCAGCAGCCGGGGGGCTGGGGACAGTCTCTGCCCCACATTGTGGCAATCCAAGCGCCCTGCTTCCAGGAACGGCCAGGGGGACGCTCCAGCTGCTCAGCACCCAGCTGGCTCATGGAGCGGTGCAGGTGAGAGCTCCCCGCCCACCAAGGAGTGGGGAGCTGGGGTGTCCCCACTCCTGTATTGACTGGCATTCAGCTCCCATTCACCACCGGTGAATCCAGCAGCCCCTGCATAAGCTGCAGGGGAACTACACCCCAAAGTAGGAGCGGGGGCGGAATTAGCAATTCTTGCCCAGGGCCTCTCCCCTCAGGGTGCCCTGCCAGCCGCGCAGCCCCTCACCTCTCCACTGTCTCACAGAAGAGCACCACGATCTCCTGCTGCTTGTAGAGCTCCTCCGGGGACTTCACCGTGACCAGCAAGGACACGTAGCTACAAGAGACAGGCCAGCCATGAATCCCAGCCCTGTCCTGCTTCCCAGGGCACCCAGCGGGGTGTCCTGGAACACTCTGGCCTGGAGTGAGGGGCCCAGATTGTGCCCAGGGGGCTCCTGACAGCAGATCTAGCCCTGTTTGGCTCCCTCCAGAGTGGCTTGTCCCGGAGGATACCCTTTGTCACAGCCCCCGCACTACGAAGGACAAGCAGCTACCGGCATTCTGCACCCACCACGCCCAGCCTGGCGCTCTCTGGGCTGCTGAGGAATGGCCGGGGCGGTGGCGGAGGCTGCTGGCCTGCCCTGCCCCAGTGCTTGCACCTGGCCTCTGCAGCCAAGCTGAGTTCTGTGCCTGGCACGTACCGGAGTTCAAATTCAGCGAAGAGCGTGTCAAACCGGATCAGCGCCATACGCATGGGCTCCGAGCAGGGGCTGGCCTGGCTCAGGCTCTGCTCCCGCAGTACTTTCCGCACCAGCTGCAAGCTGCACACCAGGTTCTTGGCCAGGGGACGCAGCTGCAGCCCGTCTGCTTCCTCCAGCTCCAGGACGGTGCCCGCCACCAGACACTGTGGAGACCACACGAGCCGCTCAGGGAGCCAGCCCAGCACAGCCCCTCCCCTGCCCACCTAGCCGAATCCCACCACCCCGAGAGCACGTGACAGGAGTCGTGGGCTCAGCACAGGCCCAGGGGCCAGGCAGCCTCCTCGGAGTTGGGCACAGCACGTGGTCTGCTTGGGCGGAGCCCAGGGCTGGATAGTTGGGTGTGTGGGGGGACACTTGCATGGCACCTCCCCTCAAGGTATCTGGGGAGAGCAGGTGTTTTTAGCCCCTGGCTCTCTTGGGTGCAATCCAGTCTAGCATGAGGGAAACCGTACAAAGGATCCTGGCACCCTTCCTGCGCCCCCCAAAAGGGGGTTCTGAGGCTCCAGACAGCTCCAGGAAGTGCATTTCCTAGAAGGACTGGGGTAGGGGAGCTCCCAGACTGCTCCCCGGGAATCACCGCAGGCTGACCTCAGCCGCAAACAGCACGTGGTTCCCCAGATTGTCCACCAGCAGCTCCTCCGGGAACTTGGCAAGGTAGTCACGGCAGTGCCTCTCCTTGGGGATGCACTCGTTCATGAGCTGCTCGATGAGGGTCAGCAGGTGAGCCTGGGCAGGGGAGCAGGAGGCGTCTGTTGAGATTGCTGTCCCACACACGAGGGATGCTGGTCGCTGGCGGGTCCCTGCCAAGCCATGCAGGGCGGGACAGAGCATGCACCATCTCTCCCAGCTCCCCCACCAGGGCCAGGGCCCCAGCCCTGAAGTCCCAGCCCTCCCTCCGCCCTCGCTGCGCTCCCACCCTGGACAGCAGCAGAGCCCGCTACTCCAGCTGAGGGCAGGGCACGCGCACACGCCTTGGGCCTCATGTGGGGGGCAGGGCCCTGGTTCACAGGGTACCTGGCTGAGGTGCAGCTGGTTTAGCAGCACCAAGTATTGCTGAGGGTCTGTCTCCACGTCCAGGCCATTTATTTCCATCACCACGCGGGTCACCCTCTCGTCGGCGTAGAAGAACTGGGACAGCAGCCTGGGGTCGGATCGCTGGCGAGAGACATAGGGAGAAGGGGAGCCTCTGTCAGTCACTGCGGCACCCCAAGGACCAGAGCGCTGTGGCTCCAGCCTCCCCCAGCAGGAGGCACTGCGGGGAGCCCTGACTGCTGGAGGGGGAGTGACGAAGTGGGACTGTTCTTAGTGTTTCCTCTGAATAGTGTGGGGGTGCCTCAGTTTCCCCTAGGCAGTTCTTAAGTATCTAGGTGGTGGGGTAAGGGTGTATGGTCATTGCAGAGCCCTAGAGGGCAGGTGTGTGCAGGGGTCTGGACACAGAGAATGGCCGACACCCTGTTTCCTGGCCACTGATGGCCTGGGCCCTTCCCCCCTGCAAGGTGAGACCTAAAGGGTTGGAAAACAAAGGAATCCGGTGACCTCCTGGCCTGGGAAAGGGACAAAGCCCAGAGGAGGAGCAGCAGGAGAGAGTTGCAGTTTGGGGCTGGCTGGGGACGAGGAGTGAAGTGCAGACGTGGTTGTCTGGCTCACGCCCCCTCAAAATGGACCCGGCTGAGGGGTCCTGTTCTCTGCACCTACAAGCTCTGTGTTAGACCATGTTCCTGTCGTCTCATAAACCTTCTGTTTTACTGGCTGGCTGAGAGTCCTGTCTGACTGCGGAGTTGGGGGGCAGGACCCTCTGGCTCCCCCAGGACCCCACCTGGGCAGACTTGCTGTGGGAAGCGCACAGAGGGGCAGAGGAGGCTGAATGCTCCGAGGTCAGGCCCAGGAAGGTGGAAGCCGGGTGAGCTGTGTGTCCTGCAGACAGGCTGCTCCCAGAGAGGAGACTTCCCCAGAGTCCTGCCTGGCTTCATGGGAAGCAGTTCCAGAGCATCGCCTGGGGACCCCGTGACAGGGGGAAGGGGACAGGCCCAGCTCCAGAGCCCTGTCCTGCTCGGCTGACGTGCTCATGTTCGGCCCCAAGAGCTCGCATGGAGCCAGTACGACATGCACCACGTGGCCAGAGTGGGGGTGTCTGGGGCAGCGCAGTGAGCAGAGGAGCGGCACAGGCAGGAAGGACGGACAGCACCTGCCTCCTCCCAACCCATCGCGCGAGGGGCCAGCACTGTGTCCTGTTCCCCGGGCCCCCCATGGGCAGGAAGAGCTTCAGGGACAGGCCGTGTGGGTCCGGGGGGAGCGGTACTCTGGGCACTGCAGCCAAGCATGTAAGCACCAGAGACGATTCAGAGCTGGGGGCATGGGGCGAGCTTGGCTCTCCTCAGGCCAGACAGCAGCATCAGTGGCAGCATGAACCAGCCATGGGCCTCAAGCCCGAAATTCCCAAGGGGCACCATGTCCTTTGGCCCCTCATTTCCCTCCCTGTTACTGGGGGGCTAGGTCATGGCGTGGGGATGGGGATGGCGAGAGCACCCTCACGCCACAGAACCCGCTTGTCAAAAGGCGCTCCCGGCCCTTCGCTCAGTGCGCCAGCCAGAGACACGGGGCAGCGACTCATCCACGTTCCTCCAGAGCCGGGGACAGAACCCAGGAGTCCTGGCTCCCAATACCCTGTCCGAAGAGCTAGATACGTCTGGTGCAACATGGACTGCCAAGTGGCCCCATTATTGCCGATGGCCTGGCCAGGAGCATCCAGCTACTGTCCTCGGTCGGGATCCCCAGGCTGCTCCCAAGGAAACCTGTGATGCCAAGATCATCTCTAGGCAGCCTCGGGCCAGCAGAGCTGAGTGCAAAGCTGCAGGCCGCGGCTGTTCCATCAGCAGGAGGCTGAGTTCAGAGCAGCCCCTAGCCCCTACCTGGCCCTGGGGTGAACATGTCCCAGGCCGTGACAAACAGCCCCCTAGGGCTCTTGGGGCTGTCGGCCTTCCTCCAGGTTTCAGAGTAACAGCCGTGTTAGTCTGTATTCGCAAAAAGAAAAGGAGGACTTCCTCCAAGGTCTGTGGGCCCAGGAGAGCAGAATACACCAGTTCTCCAAGCCACTCCTGGCCACAGCAGGCCGGACAGCCGGGTTCCCAGCATGGGTGCCAGCCAGAACCAGCGAATCCTCCAGAGGGGGAAGGGATTGGGACGCGCCTGGAGAATTCCTGCAGCTCTCCTGCTGCCAGAGGAGCCAGGAGCCCTTGCCCTGAGGGCAGCACAACAGATCCCAACTGTCGCTGACGCTCCCAGGAACACTGATCTGTCCGTCCGTCCATCCCCCCGAGCCCAGCAGTGGAATTTTTTCAGGGCCACCCATGACCAGCAGGGGGTGCTGCAGCGGGGTTTGGGGCAGGACTGACAGCAGGAGGGCTGCAGGCTCAGTTGAAGCTCACCTATAAACCGTAGCGAGGAGGTCTGTCCCTCAGGCCACGGCACGCGCCCAGCCAGTGCACATGCTTGTGAACAGCCACAGCCGTGCAGAGCTCTTCAGCAATGAAGTCAGGGCCACAGCAGGCCCCCGCCTAAGGCCATGAGGTCACACAAGCCCCGGGCAGGCATGATGGAGCTAACCCGGTAAGAGGCCAAAGAGACTCAGCCATGGAGCAGGTTAGCAGCACACACCCCTGCAGCACGCCCGGCCTCTCACACGCTTCCTCAATCCAAGCCACTCCACAATTAGCTAACCACACAGCCGCTGAACTGGGTTGTGCAGAGGCAGCTAGAGCGAGTGGACCAGGCACAGGACTGGGATCCAGGAATCCTGGAGCTCTCATTTTGGTTCCACGCAAAGCCCCCACTGTGGACTGTGCAAGTCCCTACCTCAGTTTCCCCAGGTGTAGAACAGGGTTAATGAGCTCAAGCTGGATCCCAGTAGGGGTGGGGCTGGACGTGTGTGCACATGTCACACCTAGGTACAAGAGTCTGAGAAGGCAGCCTTTGTGACAGGGTGACTGCCCTCGGGAATAGTGAGGGCTAGTGGTCAGTCAGCCCCTGGCCTGGGGTGTGTCCCTTAAAGCCTGGGCCTTGTACAGAGGATGAAACGCGGAGAAGGGTAGAGCTAGGTGTGGGGAGAGCGGAAGACGGGCCCAGGGCAATCAGTCAGACTTGGGGAAAGCCCAGGCTGCTGTCCCTTTAAGGTCCTAGGACCAGAAGCCTTGTAGAGTGGCTGGGAGCAGAGCGTGTGTCCACATGCTGTCGCTGGGGCGATGCGTCGCCCCCGCAAGGTATCCAGGGACCACGGCGTGGACAGGAGAACAGAGCCCTGCAGCTCCTCTTTCCCCACCACACACACACGGCTCCCGGGGCCGTGCACACAATGGGGTCACCTGGCGCTAAGACCCTCACTCCTGCACCTCTTGCGCGGGACCACCTCGCCTCTGCAAAGCCCCCAAACCTACTGTAACCTGCCAGCTGGGCAAGGGGCGGCATCCCCATCCTGCTTCGCCCCGTGTGGGAGAGAGCCGCAGACCACAGGAGCCACTCTGGGAGGGGCCGGTGTGACGAAGTGGGACTGTTCTTAATGTTTCCTCTGAATAGTGTGGGGGTGCCTCAGTTTCCCCTAGGCAGTTCTTAAGTATCTAGGGGGTGGGGTAAGGGTGTATGATCATTGCAGAGCCCTAGAGGGCAGGTGTGCAGGGGTCTGGACACAGAGAATGGCCAACTCCCTGTTTCCTGGCAACTGATGGCCTGGGCCCTTCCCCCCTGCAAGGTGAGAGCTTTTAAAGGGTTGGAGAACAAAGGAATCAGGTGACCACCTGGCCCGGGAAAGGAACAAAGCCCAGAGGAGGAGGGGCTGGAGGGGGTTTTCAGTTTGGGGCTGGCTGGGACATGGAGTGAAGTGCAGACGTGGTTGTCTGGCTCACTGCCCCCCCAGAATGGACCCAGCTGAGGGGTCCCGTTCTCTGCACCTGCAAGCTCTGTTTTAGACCATGTTCCTGTTGTCTAATAAACCTTCTGTTTTCCTGGCTGGCTGAGAGTCACGTCTGACTGCGAAGTTGTGGTGCAGGACCCTCTGGCTTCCCCAGGAGCACCGCCTGAGCGGACTCGCTGGGGGAAAGCGCACGGAGAGGCAGAGGATGCTGAATGCTCCGAGGTCAGACCCAGGAAGGTGGAAGCTGGGTGAGCTGTGTGTCCTGAAGACAGGCTGCTCACAGAAAGGCGACTACCCCAGAGTCCTGACTGACTTCATGGGGAGCAGTTCCAGAGCATCGCCCAGGGACTCCGTGACAGCCGGTTAGACTGATCAGGGACAGCAAGAGAGCCCCTCTGGGCCTCAAAGCATCGCTCTGGAGAAGGCAAACAACCTACTGCAGCCTGCTAGCAATGCAGCCCCCGTCCCCCATGGGGAAAAGCAGAGAGAAGCCTGGACAGTGGCCACTAGCCACCTGCAGCTCTTCCCTTCACCCGGAAGCCACCCCTCCCGCCGTCAGGAGGGCACCTTGCAGCTGAGCAGTCGGTTGCCTTTCCTCGGCAGTGTCTAACATCAGCCCACAGCACGGCCTGGATCCACCTGCCGAGCTGCCTGTGGACACGCCCTGCCTCCAGCCCCTCTGCTTCCCAGTCACCCAGGACTCTCTGGCGTAAGCACACAGGGCCCACCTGGGGCTGGCCATGGGGAATCCCAGCCTGGGCCTTCCCTGTAGCTTTCCTCCAGGGAAAGTTGAAGTGGCAGGGCCCGGCTCTCAGCTAGGTTGGCTGTGCCCTCCTGTTCCTTCCCCAGCCCCCCTCAGAGAGAGACGCAGCTCCTGGCGCTGGGTCACCCCCGAGCCGGGCCTCAGGGCCAAGACAGGGATCTTCCCTCCTGGGCCTTGCTTGGCCCTGTTCCAGTCTAGGTGTCAGCACCCCGAGCGCCAGGCCCCACCCAGTCCCGTTCCCCTTCCTGGATGGGGGAAGACAACCCCCCGCCCACATGTGGCCTTTTTTAAGCTGGAGTGGAAGGCCTGGGACTCCGGTAAACAGCTCCTGCCTGTTGACACCCTTCAGGCATGTGTAGGCTGTGGCCGTGGCCCTCCCCCACCCACCTTAGTCACCTCGGAGACATGCTCTTGTACCCGTCTTCCCCACAGCTCTGGCCCAGCCCAGGCCCGGGGCCCAGCCCTGCTGGCAGAGCAGCAGGGGCAGTAAGAGTGGGCCGGTTCTCACCCCAGCCAGACCCCGTGGACGCTGTCCAGCCCCTGGACCGTGAACTGTGCTGAGCCACCCCCCAGCCTAAGCCCCTCTTCTCTGGACGGAGGGAAGGAGCTGCAGGGCGCGTACAGAGCTAGGCAGGCCAGGGGTGTTCCTGGGAACACACAGGGGCCAGGCCCCAGGAGTCGATGGGACACTTCCACCCTCTCTGCCTGCACAGGGGGCGGGGGCTGCCCGGAGCTCCAGGTCTGGGGAGAGGCTGGACAGCAGCACCCAGGGCAAGCGGACAGGTTCCTCAGCAGTGCCAGGTGCAGGGACAGCCTAGGTGCCTGGTTCAGACCGGGGCACTTACACCAGGGAGCCGTGGGGCCAGTCTCAGTGCCGACAGGCTCCTGCAAGGGGGCTGCAGCGCTTCCTGGCCAGGGCAGGGCACCGTGCCACAGGGCAAAACTTGGGGCAAAGGGCCCTAGAGCCAAGCCCCCCCCGCCAGCACTGCCAGTCCAGACCGTCCCCCTCCACCTCAGAGAATCGCTGCCAGCGACAGGGGCAACCCACCCCTCATCTGATCCTTGGCTTGGCTGCCCCACAGCCCCCCAAGACCCAGGGATGAGTTCCCTGCCATCCCTGGGAAGAGCACGGGGCATGGGAGGGGAGGGTACTGGGGCAGGGGATTCCTGCCAGCACCCTGAGGGGGGCAGATGGGAGTCCCGGGGGGTGGGACAGGGGGTCTCTGAGAGCCTCCCTGGGGGGCAGAGGGGAGTCCCGGCGGGTGGGGGTGGGACAGGGGGTCTATGGCAGCCCCCCCGGGGGCAGAGGGAAGTCCCGGCGGGTGGGGGTGGGACGGGGGTCTCTGGCAGCCCCCCCGGGGGGCAGAGGGGAGTCCCGGCGGGTGCGGGTGGGACAGGGGGTCTCTGGCAGCCCTCCTGGGGGGCAGATGGGATTCCCAGGGGGTGTGACGGGGGTCTCTGGCAGAGGGGAGTCCCGGCAGGTGGGACAGGGGGTCTCTGGCAGCCCCCCCAGGGCAGAGGGGAGTCCCGGCGGGTGCGGGTGGGACAGGGGGTCTCTGGCAGCCCCCCCGGGGGCAGAGGGGAGTCCCGGCGGGTGCGGGTGGGACGGGGGGTCTCTGGCAGCCCCCGGGGGCAGAGGGGAGTCCCGGCGGGTGCGGGTGGGACGGGGGGTCTCTGGCAGCCCCCCCGGGGGCAGAGGGGAGTCCCGGCGGGTGCGGGTGGGACGGGGGGGTCTCTGGCAGCCCCCGGGGGCAGAGGGGAGTCCGGCGGCGGGGGGACGGGGGTCTCTGGCAGCCCCCCGGGGGGCAGAGGGAGTCCCGGCGGGTGGGGGTGGGACGGGGGGTCTCTGGCAGCCCCCCCGGGGGGCAGAGGGGAGTCCCGGCGGGTGGGGGTGGGACGGGGGGTCTCTGGCAGCCCCCCCGGGGGCAGAGGGGAGTCCCGGCGGGTGGGGGTGGGACGGGGGGTCTCTGGCAGCCCCCGGGGGGGGGCGGGGGGGGGGGAGGGGAGTCCCGGCGGGTCGGGGGGGGGTGGGACGGGGGTCTCGGCAGCCCCCGGGGGGCAGAGGGGAGTCCCGGCGGGTGGGGGTGGGACGGGGGGTCTCTGGCAGCCCCCCGGGGGGCAGAGGGGAGTCCGGGGGCGGGGGGCGGGTGGGACGGGGGGGGCCCCCGGGGGGGGGGGGGGGGTGGGGGGGGTCTCGGCAGCCCCCCCGGGGGCAGAGGGGAGTCCCGGGGGGGGGGACGGGGGTGGGGGTGGGACGGGGGGTCTCTGGCAGCCCCCCCGGGGGCAGAGGGGAGTCCGGCGGGTGGGGGTGGGACGGGGGGCGCCCGGGGGGGGGGGAGCCCCGGGGGGGGTGGGGGGGGCAGAGGGGAGTCCCGGCGGGTGGGGGTGGGACGGGGGGGTCTCTGGCAGCCCCCCGGGGGGCAGAGGGAGTCCCGGCGGGTGCGGGGTGGGACGGGGGGGTCTCTGGCAGCCCCCCCCGGGGGCAGAGGGGAGTCCCGGGTGGGGGTGGGACGGGGGGTCTCTGGCAGCCCCCCGGGGCGCAGAGGGGAGTCCCGGCGGGTGCGGGGTGGGACGGGGGGTCTCTGGCAGCCCCCGGGGGCAGAGGGGAGTCCCGGCGGGTGGGGGTGGGACGGGGGGTCTCTGGCAGCCCCCGGGGGCAGAGGGGAGTCCCGGCGGGTGCGGGTGGGACGGGGGGTCTCTGGCAGCCCCCCCCGGGGGCCCAGGGGAGTCCCGGCGGGTGCGGGTGGGACGGGGGTCTCTGGCAGCCCCCGGGGGCAGCAGGGGGGGAGTCCCGGCGGGTGCGGGTGGGACGGGGGTCTCTGGCAGCCCTCCTGGGGGGCAGATGGGATTCCGGCGGGGGGGTGTGACGGGGGTCTCTGGCAGAGGGGAGTCCCGGCAGGTGGGACAGGGGGTCTCTGGCAGCCCCCCCGGGGGCAGAGGGGAGTCCCGGCGGGTGGGGGGTGGGACAGGGGGTCTCTGACAGCCCCCCGGGGGGCAGAGGGGAGTCCCGGCGGGTGCGGGTGGGACAGGGGGTCTCTGGCAGCCCCCGGGGGCAGAGGGGAGTCCCGGCGGGTGGGGGTGGGACAGGGGGTCTCTGGCAGCCCCCCCGGGGGCAGAGGGGAATCCCGGCGGGTGGGGGTGGGACGGGGGTCTCTGGCAGCCCCCTCGGGTGCAGAGGGGAGTCCCGGCGGGTGAGGGTGGGACGGGGGGTCTCTGGCAGCCCCCCCGGGGGGCAGAGGGGAGTCCCGGCGGGTGGGGGTGGGACAGGGGTCTCTGGCAGCCCCCCCGGGGGCATAGGGGAGTCCCGGCGGGTGCGGGTGGGACAGGGGGTCTCTGGCAGCCCCCCCGGGGGCATAGGGGAGTCCCGGCGGGTGGGGGTGGGGGGGGGGGGGGTCTCTGGCCCCCCCCCGGGGGCAGAGGGGAGTCCCGGCGGGTGCGGGTGGGACGGGGGGTCTCTGGCAGCCCCCCGGGGGGCAGAGGGGAGTCCCGGCGGGTGCGGGTGGGACGGGGGGTCTCTGGCAGGCCCCCCGGGGGCAGAGGGGAGTCCCGGCGGGTGCGACAGGGGGTCTCTGGCAGCCCCCCCGGGGGGCAGAGGGGAGTCCCGGCGGGTGCGGGTGGGACGGGGAGTCTCTGGCAGCCCCCCCGGGGGGCAGAGGGGAGTCCCGGCGGGTGCGGGTGGGACGGGGAGTCTCTGGCAGCCCCCGGGGGGCAGAGGGGAGTCCCGGCGGGTGCGGGTGGGACGGGGGGTCTCTGGCAGCCCCCCCGGGGGCAGAGGGGAGTCCCGGCGGGTGCGGGTGGGACGGGGGGGTCTCTGGCAGCCCCCCGGGGGGCAGAGGGGAGTCCCGGCCGGTGGGGGTGGGACGGGGGGTCTCTGGCAGCCCCCCCGGGGGCACAGGGGAGTCCCGACGGGTGCGGGTGGGACAGGGGGTCTCTGGCAGCCCCCCCCCGGGGGCAGAGGGGAGTCCCGGCGGGTGGGGGTGGGACGGGGGGGTCTCTGGCAGCCCCCCCGGGGGCAGAGGGGAGTCCCGGCGGGTGCGGGGTGGGACGGGGGGTCTCTGGCAGCCCCCCCGGGGGCAGAGGGGAGTCCCGGCGGGTGCGGGTGGGACGGGGGGTCTCTGGCAGCCCCCCCGGGGGCAGAGGGGAGTCCCGGCGGGTGCGACAGGGGGTCTCTGGCAGCCCCCCGGGGGGCAGAGGGGAGTCCCGGCGGGTGCGGGTGGGACGGGGAGTCTCTGGCAGCCCCCCGGGGGCAGAGGGGAGTCCCGGCGGGTGCGGGTGGGACAGGGGGTCTCTGGCAGCCCCCCCGGGGGCAGAGGGGAGTCCCGGCGGGTGCGGGTGGGACGGGGGGTCTCTGGCAGCCCCCCGGGGGCAGAGGGGAGTCCCGGCGGGTGCGGGTGGGACAGGGGGTCTCTGGCAGCCCCCCGGGGGCAGAGGGGAGTCCCGGCGGGTGCGGGTGGGACGGGGGTCTCTGGCAGGGGGAACTGGGGTCTCACCTTGGGCCGGTGCAGCCACTTCCTGACGGCCGCGGGCAGCATGTCGAGAGCGCGGCGGGGGCGCAGCGCCCGGTCCCGGACTCCCGGACTCCCGGCTCCCCGCCTCGCCGCCCGCACGGGGCGGGCCCGCAGCTGGCACCGCCCGGACGAGGAACAGGGGCGGTGCCTGCCGGGGCCAGCCCGAGCCCAGCGCCCCCGATTTCTCTCCCTTTTCAAAGTGCCCCTGGCAGGTCAAATTCTCCTTCAGCCCCGCGTGCGCCGCGCGGAAGGGACGTGCCCCAAACTCACACTGTGGCAGGTCTGGAATAGAACCCAGGAGTCCCGGCTCCCTCCCCTCCCCCAACCACTAGACCCGCTCCCCTCCCAGGGCCAGGGCTAGAACTCAGGACTCCCGGCTTCCAGCCCCCCGTGCCCCAGAGACAGGGGGAGAACCCACCCCCTTTGTGCATTACACCACCCGGGCAGGGCGTCCCAGGCGTGCCCCTGCGTGTCCCTGCATGCCAAGGCACTGATACCAGAGACAGGCCGTTCCCCTGCTGGGCTGGGCCCGGGGGCCCGGGAATGGGTGCTGGGGGCAGGATGTATGACGCCATGCATGTGGGGTGGGACGTGTCCCAAGGGACAGAGCCTGCCTCAGACTGACCCACGGAGGAGTGTTTGGAAGGGTCCCAAAGGACGGCCGCGGAGGAGATGGAGGCAGGCAGGCAGGGCCCCAGACACCCCCACACCCAGAGTCACTGGCTGCTTGCCCTTGGGTGACGGGGAGCAGTGGGGGTGCTGGGTAGGCTGCCGCCAGCAGGGTAGCCGGGGTTTCCTGGGTTCTGCGTAACCGCAGGGTAGCTGGGGAGGGGATTTCACTCCTGAGCCACAGTCTAGTCATGTCTGTTATTCACGGAGTCGTCTGGCCCCAGCCCTGCTCCCAGCCTGTCCAACAGTCATAACCACCGTCCCTTCCGTGGCAATAGCCTCACCCCTGCTCGGATCTGCGGGGGCTGAGCCGAAGGACTCGGAGTGTCTCCCCGCCCCCGGTCACCTGGGTTTGTGTGGAGCCAAGTCTGCAATGGCCCACAGCAGCAGCAGGGACCCCCACCGTGCTCTGCCCAGATCCCTCTTGCACTGTGAGGAGCGAGCATATGCTGGTAGCAGGCCTGGCTGGGGTAGCTGCCCTGTACCTTTAACTAGATGGGAGACAGCCCCTGGGCAGGGCTGTGTGTTGCAATGGGCTGGACCGTAGCCCAGAGCAGTTGTTTGGTTTTCTGAAGTTTGTCAGGACTCGCTGAGCCAGGCAGAACTCGTTCATCCCAGCATGGGCCACGGGTGCATGAGCCAGGGATGCCTCTGACACCAGCTGGTGGCTCCAAGAGCAAGACTGTGATTAAGCTGCAGTGAGCCATGTGCTGGTCCTGCATGCAAGTCCTGCTGGTCCTGCATGGGAGGCAAGGACAGCTCCTGGCCCTGCTTGGGTCTTTGCACCACAGCGCACCAGGAAGTGTAAGTGCTCTTAAGGACATTGGTGCCCTGCTAGTAGGAGACTGCCTCCTTCGGAGGCCATGCACCTAGAGTCTCTGTGCAAGAGCATAAGAACAGCCAGACTGGGTCAGCCCAATGGTCCAACCAGCCCTGTGTCCTGTCTGCCAACAGTGGCCAGTGCCAGGTGCTTCAGAGGAAGTGAAGAGAACAGGGCGATTACCGAGTGATCCAGGGCTTAAATTCAGCCGGAGCTGTCTGGAGCTGATCTCTGGTAAATATTTCAAAACCCCTGGAGTTTTTATAACATGTTTGGGGCAGGGGATATGTGGGGGCTCCAGGAAATACTCTATAAGAATTTAAGCCCTGGAGTGATCCATCCTGGTCAGCCACTGACAGCTTCTGGCAAACATTGGTTAGCCACACTCAGAGCATGGGGTTGTGTCTCTGCCCATCCTGGCTAATAGCCATTGATGGACCCATCCTCCATGAATTTATCTAGCTCTTTTTTGAACCCAGTTATACTTCTGGCCGTCACAACATCCTCTGGCAATAAGTTCCATAAGTTGACTGTGCGTTGTGTGAAGAAGTACTTCCTGTTGTTTGTTTTAAACCTGCTGCCTCTTAATTTCCTTGGGTGACTCCCTAGTTCCTGTGTTATGTGAAGGGGTAAATAACACTTCCCTAGTCACTTTCTCCACACCAGCCATGATTTATAGACAGCTCTCATCTCCCCCTGAGCCCTCTCTTTTCCAAGCTGAGGAGTTCCAGCCTTTTTAATCTCTCAACATACGGAAGCTGTTCACACCCCTGATCATTTTTGTTGCCCTTCTCTGCACCTTCCCTGCCATCACCTACAAGGCAAGGGAAAGAATCCCAGTTACTCATGGTCCGCACCTGGGGGTGATTAACTGCCTCCTGGCGAGACAGGGCGGAGCTGGGCCTTTATGTAGGCCATGGGTGCTCCAGTGGAGGCAGCCTGCCATGAAGCCCTGGTGTAGGGCTTGACAGGTAGCACCAGAGTCCGGGTTAGGCTCCTGCAGGGGAAGCCTGAGGTAGGGCCACGAGGGAACTCCCATGAAGCCTGAGGTGGGGGAAGAGCTGTTTGGCTGAAGATTTTTCTTTGGCCTTTTGTTTGGACTTGGGGTGCTCCCTGGGAAGGGGTCTAGCCCCAGAACACCCAGAGGAGAAATGATGCAGGTCTGAGGGGGAGCCCAATGGGTGCCTGCTGATAAGGGAGCCTGGGGGAAGGCCCGGGCTGGGGGAGCATTGGTAAGACAAAGGCAGTGGTTTCACCCTCAGGAATGCTGAGTGGGGATGGTGCTGAGGGAAAAACAGAAAATATCCGTCTCACGCAGGGATTGATAGGATTGTGCATGTAGAAGCCTAGACTCTGCCATACCAGAGCAGATCAGGGTCGCCTGACACTGACCACCATCTGCTGCTTCAGAGGAAGCTGCAAGAAACCCAGCAACTGGTAGGGTGAGGGCAGCCTGCCCCTGGGAAGCTTTGTGCAAATCCCCATTAGCTAGTGGGGATTCCTGAACTGAAGCTGGGGGGTTAGATCCCCTTCCCACCTCAGGTTGGTTTGTCTTTAACCCTTCCTATGCCATGTTGGATGTTCCTGTTCTCCATATAAATGTCCAGCCCTTTTTCTTGGAATCATGTGACGGTCTTTGCCTTGGTGATACCTTGTGGCAGTGAGTACCACAGGACGCTTGTGCACTGCATGGAAAAGGTCAGTTTTAAACATGCTGCCTTTCAATGGTTGAATTCCCCCGCCCCCCTCCTTGCTTCATGAAATGGGATTTGCTAGTTGTCCTGCTCTATTCCTGTACCTTTGTCCTGTGATCCGTGCCTGGGCTGCGTGGGCCCAGGCAGCAGGGGAAGCACTGCAGAGGCCTGCAACTTAACCAGATGAGACTGGACTACAAGCACCGAGTCTGGGTCAGAAAAAAGCCAGCCCCTCTGGGGTGAGCTGGGTCTCTGCCTCCTGCCTGCAGGGTCCGTGCACGGGCCCTGCCCCTGACAGCCACTGCCACTTCGCTCCTGTGTGACTGCTGTGAAGTGAGGATGCGCAGCAGTCCGAACACCGCTCACCCCACAGCATGGAGGCTGCCAGGAGCCGGGCATGCAGCTGCTAGGGCACACAGCCACCACAGCAACGCCCAGGCAGGAGCTGGCTCAAGTTTGGGAGGGGGGGGGGGCTAGAAAATGACTTGACCCTCTTTGGCTTGGGTCAGGTGAGCTTGGTCTGGTTCCTGAATAAATATTAGGCCTGAGCAGACCCCTACTGTAGTGATCCATGTGCCCAGCATTTGGGCAGCGTGGCATCTTGCTCCACAGTGCCCTCAGCCGGCTGATTCCAGAGCCATGGTGACGGACTCACAGGCAGGCCTGATTCCTGCTGAACAGTGCCCACTAGAGGAAGCTGGGTTCTCACTGTGCAAGGGGCCTGCTTTCAGCCCACACAGAGAAGTGGGGCACAATCCTCTGTTTCTCCTGGTGCCCCTGTCTTACAGACACTGCGAGCTCTGGCGTGAGGGGTGCCACAGAGCCTTTGCCTACAGAGACCACTGCTTCTCTACCACAGCGCAGACAGGTAAGTGTGACGTCCTGCTGTGGCTCAGCCTGGCAGCAGGTGTGCGACTCGCTCATAGCTGCACACCAGGAACTAGAGGCCCTCTTGAAGTATGGCTCTGGGACTGCTCTCACAGCTGTGGGAGCCCCAATGCAATTAGAGTGCTCTCTCTCCTTCCTAGCCCCGTTCTCTCCCCGTTCCCTGCAGGGTTGGTTACTACAGAAACACTTGATTTTCCCCATCCTTTGATTGGAGTTTTCTGCCTGGGTTCCTAGATGGCCAAGCCCAAGAGCTGCACAGCTGTGAGGGTGCCTGCAGCCCCCTGTGCAGTCCTCTGTCCTACTGCTGCCGCCCCACGCAGCGCCAGCCTGTATCCGCTCCCCACAGGCTTGGAGGAAAGGCTGGGTGGCCGTGGCAGAGGGCTGACCTTGCTTGTTTCACCCATGATCTGACAGGACCTAGGGCTGAAGCCGCTGTGAGGGAGTGGCAGCCCCTTTCCCCTGACGGCTCGCAGCTGGTCAGCACGGGCAGCAGCCAGAGGCGCTCAGGAGCGGGGCACCATGCGAGAAAGCTCTTTCAATCCCACCAGTGCCCCGGCTGCCTCGTCAATCAGCCCAGCCCTGGCGAGCTAAGCAGCTGGCCTGGCGCAGGTGGGAAATGCTCGTTCGGATGCTGGCCCTGTGAGCGCTGTGGCTGTGTCTTCTCCACCCAGTACAGGAGCCTGGTGCTTTGGTGATGGGGACAAGTGTGTGTGTGTGTGGGGGGAACACAGCGAAGTGGCAAAGGCCTACCCAGAAGCTCCCCTCTGCAGTGCCAGCCACATGGCCTCTCTGGCTTCATGCAGCTGCCCCGGCCGTGCTGGCTGCTCAGGGACGTGACCGGCTTCTGCTTCATGGGAAGGATGAATGCAGGAGCAGCCCCTGTAACCCTGAGCAGGTCGTGCCGCAGGGCCAGGAACTAAAGCCCAGGCACATGCAGGCTCTCTGTCCCCGAGAGAGAAGTGCTGCCGGGGCAGACCACGGCGCAGGGCCTCCGGTCTGAACCCTGCCCAGCGGCCCTCCTTGGAAAGGGGAACGTGTCTGGGACAGGCAGGGCAAAGCAAGAGTAGCACCCGGGCCTCCATGGGGCTCAGCAAGGTACACACACGGGGACAAGACGGGGACCCTGCCTGAGCGCCCCCTCATACCCCACAGTGCTGGGGGGGGCTCCCTACCTCCAGCCCGGCCCTTCCTGCCAAGTTCCCTTCCCTCCCCTCCCCCCCCCCCTGCACCCCGGCTTCCCTCCCCACCCCACCCCCCCTTCCTGCCAAACCCCTCCCTCCCCCCGCCACTCCCCTTCCTGCCAAGTTCCCTCCCTCCCCTCCCCCCCTGCACCCTGGCTTCCCTCCCCACCCCACCCCCCCCTTCCTGCCAAATCCCTCCCTCCCCCCGCCACTCCCCTTCCTGCCAAGTTCCCTCCCTCTCAGCCCCCCTTCCAGCCAAGTTCCCTCCCTCCGCTCCCCTCCCAGCCAAGTTCCCTTCCCCCCCCCCCTCCCAGCCCCCCCTTCCTGCCAAGTTCTCTCCCCCCACTCCCCTCCCAGCCCCCCCTTCCTGCCAAGTTCTCTCCCTCCCCCCGCCACTCCCCTTCCTGCCAAGTTCCCTCCCTCTCAGCCCCCCCTTCCTGACAAGTTCCCTCCCTCCGCTCCCCTCCCCTCGCAGCCAAGTTCTCTCCCCCCCCACTCCCCTCCCAGCCCCCCCCTTCCTGCCAAATCCCTCCCTCCCCCTCTGCTCCCCTCCCCTCCCAGCCAAGGTCCCTTCCCCCCCGCTCCCCTCTCAGCCCCCCCCTTCCTGCCAAGTTCCCTCCCTCCGCTCCCCTCCCAGCCAAGTTCCCTTCCCCCCCCCTCCCAGCCCCCCTTCCTGCCAAGTTCTCTCCCTCCCCCCGCTCCCCTCTCAGCCCCCCTTCCTGCCAAGTTCCCTCCCTCTCAGCCCCCCCCTTCCTGCCAAGTTCCCTCCCTCCGCTCCCCTCCCCTCGCAGCCAAGTTCTCTCCCTCCCCCCGCTCCCCTCTCAGCCCCCCCCCTTCCTGCCAAGTTCCCTCCCTCCGCTCCCCTCCCCTCGCAGCCAAGTTCTCTCCCTTCCCCCCTTCCTGCCAAGTTCTCTCCCCCCCCACTCCCCTCTCAGCCCCCCCTTCCTGCCAAGTTCCCTCCCTCCCCCCCCCCCTCCCCTCTCAGCCCCCCCTTCCTGCCAAGTTCCCTCCCTCCCCCCCCCCGGCGCGCTTCCCCCTCCGCCCGCTGGGGGCGCGCTGCCCGGCCGCTGCCCGCTCCGGCGATGGCGGCGGCGGCTTCCCCGCGCCGGGCCGCCCCCGGGCAGGGGCCGGACGGGCCGCGCCGCCATATTGGCTGTTGTCCTGTCGGCGGCGGCGCGGGCCGGGCATGACTCGCAGGCGGAGCAGGGCGGCGGCGGCCGCGGCCGGGGCGCGCAGGGAGCGGGCGGGGGGCGCCGCCCCCCCCGCGCCCCCCCCGGGGCCCGGCCCCGCAGAGCCCCCCGAGGCGGCGCCGGGCAGCAGCGCGGAGCCGGGCAGAGCCCCGCAGGTACCGGGCCCCCCCTGCACCCCTGGCCCCCCCCGATCCCGGCCCCCCGATCCCCGGCCCCTGCGGCCCCTGGCCCCCCGCCGGGCCCCCGATCCCTGCACCCCCAATCCCGGCCCCCCTGGCCCCCCGCCCTCCGTACCCCCGTACCCCCCGCCCCCTGCACCCCGTACCCCCCCGCCTGCCCCCCCGATCCCCGCCCCCTGCACCCCGTACCCCCGACCCCTGCACCCCCACCCCCCGCCTGCCCCCCGATCCCCGCCCCCTGCACCCCTGGCCCCCCCGATCCCCGCCCCCTGCACTCCTGTCCCCCCCCACCTGTCCCCCCGATCCCTGCCCCCTGCATACCCTGGCCCCCCGCCTGTCCCCCGATCCCCGCACTCCTGGCCCCCAACCTGCCCCCCCGATCCCCGCCCCCTGTACCCCCCGATCCCCGCCCCCTGCATACCCTGGCCCCCAACCTGCCCCCCCGATCCCCGCACCCCTGGCCCCCAACCTGCCCCCAATCCCCGCCCCCTGCACCCCTGTACCCCCCGATCCCTGCATCCCCTGGCCTCCCACCTGTCCCTCCGATCCCCACCCCCTGCACCCCTGGCCCCCCCCCGATCCCGGCCCCCCGATCCCCGGCCCCTGTGGCCCCTGGCCCCCCGCCTGCCCCCCGCCCCCTGCAACCCCCGATCCCCGCCCTCCGTACCCCCTGCCCCCCGGCCCCTGCCCCCCGATCCCCGGCCCCTGCACCCCCTGGCCCCCCGCCTGCCCCCCGATCCCTGGCCCCCTGCACCCCCCGATCCCTGCACCCCCTGGCCCCCCGCCTGCCCCCCGCCCCCTGCACCCCCAATCCCGGCCCCCCGCCCTCCGTACCCCCCCGCCCTCCGTACCCCCTGACCCCCCGGCCCCTGCCCCCCGATCCCCGCCCCCTGCACCCCCTGGCCCCCCCGATCCCCGGCCCCTGGCCCCCCGCCTGCCCCCCCCGATCCCCACCCTCCGTACCCCCTGGCCCCCCCCGATCCCGGCCCCCGATCCCCCGGCCCCTGCACCTCCTGGCCCCCCGATCCCTGCACCCCCAATCCCGGCCCCCCATACCCCCCGCCCTCCGTACCCCCGTACCCCCCGCCCCCTGCACCCCCGTACCCCGCCCTCCGTACCCCCTGACCACCCGCCCCCTGCACCCCGTACCCCCCGACCCCTGCATCCCTGTACCTCCCCGCCTGCCCCCCGATCCCCGTCCCCTGCACCCCCGATCCCCGCCCCCTGAATCCCTGTACCTCCCCGCCCTCCGTACCCCCCCGATCCCCGCCCTCCGTACCCCCTGCTCCCCCGCCCCCTGCACCCCTGTACCTCCCTGCCTGCTCCCCCGTCCCCTGCACCCCCTGGCCCCCCGCCTGCACCCCCTGCACCCCTGTACCCCCGATCCCGGCCCCCTGCACCCCTGTACCCCCCGATCCCGGCCCCCTGCCCCCTCCCCGCCTGCCCCCCGTCTCCTGCATCCCTGTACCTCCCCGCCTGCCCCCCGCCCCCTGCATCCCTGTACCCCCGATCCCCGCCCCCTGCATCCCTGGCCCCCTGCCTGCCCCCTGTACCACCCCGATCCCCGCCCCCTGCATCCCCTAGCCTCCCACCTGTCCCCCCGATCCCCGCCCCCTGCATACCCTGGCCCCCAACCTGCCCCCCAATCCCCGCACCCCTGGCCCCCAACCTGCCCCCCGATCCCCACCCCTGTACCCCCCGATCCCTGCATCCCCTGGCCTCCCACCTGTCCCTCCGATCCCCACCCCCTGCACCCCTGGCCCCCCCCGCCTGTCCCTCCGATCCCCGCCCCCTGCACCCCTGGCCCCCTGCCTGCCCCCTGTACCACCCCGATCCCCGCCCCCTGCACTCCTGTCCCCCCCCACCTGTCCCCCCGATCCCTGCCCCCTGCATACCCTGGCCCCCCGCCTGTCCCCCCGATCCCTGCATCCCCTGGCCCCCCCCCGCCTGTTCCTCCGATCCCCGCCCCCTGCATCCCCTGGCCCCCCCCGCCTGTTCCTCCGGTCCCCGCCCCCTGCACCCCTGGCCCCCCGCCTGCCTCCCAATCCCTGCCCCCTGCATCCCCTGGCCCCTGCATCCCCTGTACCCCCCCGCCTGCCGCCCGATCCCCGCCCCCTGCATCCCTGCATCCCCTGCACCCCGATCCCCCAGCTCCTGTACCCGCCCCCGATCCCCTGCCCGCATCCTGCAGCCCCTTGCACCCCACACCTCAATCCCCCAGCTCCTGCACCCCGCTCCCTGTACCCATATCCCGATCCTCTGCCCTGCCCCAGAATCTCTACCCCATCTCCTGCACCCCCGTTCCCCAGTCCCCCACTTGCACTCATGCCTAGTTCCTGATCTCCTGCACCCCACAACCCTTCTGCTCCCAGCCTCCTGTGCCTCCCCACTGCTTTCTGCCTCCAATTCACCTGCCCTGATCCCCTACTTGCACCCGACCCCCATCCCCACCTGTATGTAGGTCCCACTCCAGTTCCCCTCTGCACCCCATTGGGGCCCTGCTCCCACCCCAATCTGACCCATGTACCCATCCCCGCACACCCCAATTCCTCCCTGCACACACCCCCTGCCTGTAGTGCTCATGCCAATCCCATCCAGCCCTCTGCACACGCCCACCCGGCACCTGTCCCGTTCCTGTCCTGGGCCTGCAGTTCTCCCCCTGCACCCCCCGGCCTCCTGCACTCACCCCTTGCCTGTAGCGCCCCATTATTCTGCGTGTAGTAGCCATGCCAATCTGCACCCATTCCAGGCTGGCAGCGCTTACCTGGGTCCCGCCCACCCTCCACCTGCAGCACCTACCCGGATCTCAGCCCGCATCCGCATGCGCACCCCCCTGCATCCGTCCCCATGACCAGACCTCCCCCAGTATGCAGAGCCCCGTGTCCCACCCCTGCAGGCAGCACCCTCCTCTCCCCCTCCCTCCAAGTCTCTGTACATAGAGCTTGGTGCCCCCTTCACTCTGCATCGCCCTTTCTGTTTCCTCCCTGCCTAGATGCAGAACCACATGCGCTCCTAGCCGCATCTCCGACCCTTACCACCTAGCCCGCTCCTTACATCCCCCGTCCCTCTGTCAGCCGTCTGCTCTGCATGTGGCACCCACCTCGTTCCTTCCCTACCGAGCATGGTTCCCTCGACACTGAATCCAGCAGCCACAGCCTACCCTGCAGACACTCACCCCCATCTTTCCCCTGCTGCTCCCTTCGGGGGTGGGACAGGGGGCTGGAGCCATGCAGCATGCACCCCTCCAGGAGGGCTCAGGTCCTGTCCCAGGTGATCGCAGCATCCTCTTTCTGCTCTCCTGTGGGCAGTTTGCAAGTGGGTCTGACACCCAGCCCCCAACGGGCTGGCCCTAGCCAGGGCTCCGGCTGCACAAGGCGGTTTCTCTGCGCAGAACTCCACTTCCCCTCAAAGCAGAGGGGGCTTTGGGAATTGAAGACCATTGTGCCCCTTGCTGGAGCCGGGGGGGAGGCCTCTGCAGGAAGTGTGCTGCTGGGCTGCGGGGTGCACAGATAGTCACCTGCCTGGGTCTTGCAGCGCATTGGCAGCGTGCGCATGAGCGCTCGGCTGCGCAAACTGTTGCCCCGGCCTCTCCAGGAGGAATTCGGGGCCCCCAGCTGGAGCAGCCGAGATGAACTGTGGCATTGGGATGAATTTGCAGAAATCTCCTGAGTTCCTGTGAGAGTGATGGGGTAAGGAGACGGCAGCTTTGCTGCAAGCAGAGGGCAGCCTGTGCTGGAAGCTGGCACAGGCAGGCAGGCTCCTGGGGAGCTGGCAGCGAGCTGTGCCCTGCAGCTCCTTTCCAGGTGGGATGTTGGACCAGGCTGGATACATCTCTGGGTAGGCTGCACCTCCCCCCAGCGCACTGAGATGGCGGATCTCCGGGACGGGAGGATTCACTTCGCTTTGTGAGAGCTCATGGTTGTGGTATTAACCCTGTGGAAAGCCAGGCTGTGCACAGCTGCTGCGGCCTGTGGAAAGGGCTCGTCTGCCCTCCACACCTGTCAGCCGAGCGTGTCCAGCCCAGCAAGGGTCAGGCAGGAGCAGAGTCGGGGCTTCACGTGACCGCACAAGGTGGGGACGCTGGAGCCTGTCCGTGGCTGGAGGTGCTAGGGCACCTGGAACGCCAAGCTCATCTCTGTGCAGGACATTATTTGCCTGCTGCCTTTGGAGGGAATTCCTGCACCGCTTCCCTCCAGCGTGGGCCGGCTGGGTGCAAGGTGTAGAGAGCTTCTCCAGGGTGACAGCAGCCCCAGGTCCACAGGATCAGAAGCTATGGCAAGTAGCCGAAGATGTCGGGCAAAGTGGGGAAGGAGTTGGTGGGTAGTAGGACATACCAGCCTCGCATCTGGCACTACCTGGCCATCTCGGCAAAGATGTCCTGGGAACTGGCCCCCTTCTCCCCCAGCCAGGCTCCGCAGGCCAGGGGGCTCAGTCTGTTCGTGAAGCTCACGTTGCCCTCTGGGCTGAGCCTGTTCAGAGTGTGGCTCTCGGGTATCTTTCTCCAGCTCCGAGTTCCCTGCAAGGAGAAGAACTGGAAGCATGTGGGGTCAGGTGCGGCGCAGCGCTGGGGGGCGGGGAAGGCTGCCCTCTCTGGAAGGGGAGGGAAGGGCACCTGGCACTGTGTATTTTCATGACGTGCTCAAGATGTCCCCCCAAGCGGCTAACCCCGGACCCCTGCTGGGAGGAGCATCTAGACTAGGTTCCCATCTGCCCCGGCGTTGGGAGCGGAGCACATCCATAAGCTGAGCTCACCGCAGAGGGCTATTGTAAGGGAGCTGCAGGGATAGGATGACCCGGCAGGAGACCAGCCTGCAGCCAGCTGGGGTTCAAACAGGGGAGGGCCTGGCGTTGCTGGCCAGCCCAGGGATGGAGTTCTGCGGAGAACAGCCAGCCAGGGATCACATCTGGCATGGCGGGTGGGCAGAGCAGCGGAGACTTGAGTCCCGGAGGGGAACGCCTGTTACACGTGGACTGTGAGTCGGACAGAGCTAGTACAGAGGGGCCCTGCTGCAAGACGGGGGCTCCCGGCAGGCACCCCCCAATACAGGTTCTGCCGGCCTTGTGTGTCACGGGGCTGGCTGTCTGCTCCTCACGCTGGGCCATGGCTGCTTGTTAGCAGGCAGTGATGCTAGCCGGCTGCTCCTGTATTTGCTGATCCTCGGGGCTGCATAGCCTTGTGCACAGGGACAAGAGGGGTGACCGTGTATCAGGGTCCTTCTCCTGCCCCTCTCTGTGGTCGCCATGGTGAGCCCTGCTCGGCACTGGGGCGCCCAGGGCTGTACACAGGTGTGGTCTCTCCAGAGCCGAGAGACATTCCCCTACCTGCCCGTGTCTAGCTTCTCTCGGTCCTATTACAGCTCCCAGCATAGCCCACCGTGGATCCCTGGCCCTTTGCCACTCTCCCAGAACATTGGGCTGGAGGGCTGGCAGCTGGGCCAGGCAAGCTCCTGGGTGTCAGGGCCAGCAGCTCTTTGAAGTTGCAGATGCTCTGGTTCCTTCCTGTCCACCTGCATTCTGCATCCCTGACGTGCTCTCTTGGAGTGGGGTGAACCAGACGGCCCACTGGAGTGCTGAGCTGGGCTGTCTGCCTCTGGTGGGGCAGGAATGGCTCACCTGGGCCTGAGGACCAGTGGGGCAGGGCTTGGCATTCCAGCTGCCCTAGTGCCTCTAGCCATGGACAGGCTCCAGCGTCCCCATCTTGCGCGGCCATGTGAAGCCTGGACAGTGCTCCCGCCTGACCCTTGCTGGGCTGGACACGATTGTCTGATGGGTGCGGAGAGCAGACAAGCCCTTTCCACAGCACGAGCTAGTGACACTGGGCTGGAGGGATGCTGTGAAGCCAGGCTTTATCCATGCTGGGAAGGGAGAGGCAGTGTCTGAGGGGAGCTGGCTGGCAGCTCCCTTGGCCACAGGCTGGGGGATTCTCCCCACTTGATATTGGTGCAGGGCCAGCTGTGTGTATTCACCAAGAGTCAGCCCCCAGCACGGTGTGATGACAAGGAAATCAGCCCCCTGGGCTCACACCACTTGCTGATTCTCAGCGTGTGGGGGAGCCGCTTGCTTCCCAGCTCCTGGAAGATCATCAAAGTCAAAACTCAGTCTTAAATACATGTGTGAAGATGCAGCCTGCCTGTTTGCCCCTCCTAGCCCCTGGGTGTGAGGAGACAGCGTTCTGCCCCTGCCCCGCCTGGGCGGGAGAGGCACAGCCCCACTCGGTCTTGTGCCGGGTTTTTGGTTGAGGGCAGCCCTGCGTGACTTAGGCAGATATCACGAGACCCTGGGCAGTCTGAGCACTGAGACGCTCCAGCCACCAGTGATGACATGACTTGCCTGTGGACAGGCTGGTGGCAGCGTCCAGGCATCCTGCTCCTAGTCCCAGTTTAGCCACCACCCCCTGCCCCAGGGGCATGTCAGGCTGCGTCCTGCTCCAGGGGCATGTCACTAGCTGTTCACGGAAGGAAAACCCTGGTGTGGATGCTGTCCCCAGGAGCCTGCCATGGGAAGGGGTGTTTGTCCGCACTCTGAAGGGGTCAGCCGTTCCAGGAAGGGTGGCCCAGCATAGAGGGCAGCTCCCTGCGGGATCACACCATGGTGCCACTCTGTCCTTACTGAGAACTTCAGGTCAGCCAAGCTCTCGTTGTTCTGAATTAGAATAGTGTAGGTGGTTAGGTGGCTTTTTTGTAATTAGGCCTCTCTCGAAGGCCAAGTCTGCTGGCGACCATAACGCCTCACTCGTCTGTTACCGTGCTGATACATTAGTGCTTTTAAATGACCATTTTGATATCTATTGATCGATATTTGAGCAGTTATTTCGGAGCCTATAAAAGCCCAGCCTTCGGCAGGGCCCCTCTGGTTCTGGAGCGCCCATCTGACTGAAGGCTCCATTTGGCCCCATTCTCATTGTTGGAGCACCTCACAATAACACCCACCCCCGTAGGGAGGCCGTGAGTGCTAGCCCCATTGTGTAGATGGGGACCTGATGCACAGAGAGTCCAAGGCCCTAAGCCATGAAGGTGCCCAAACCCCACCCTTAGGCACCCACGGCTCGTGGTTAGGCACCAAAGTTTCAGTTTGGGCTCCAGCGGGAGCCCCAGAATCCCTGCTGAGCCCTGTGTGCACCTGAGTTCTCAGCTTGAATGTTTCCTTGGAGCCGGTATTTCTGTCCCGAGCGTACACTTGCCTACGGCACATGCAGGGCCAATCCAGTAAGCCCCCAGAGCAGGCCTTCTGGGTCAGGTCCCAGGCAGAGTCCAGCTGGAGGACGTGATTAGAACACTTCTTGGGATGTGGGAGACCCCGGTTCAATCCCCCTCCCCCCGACAGGATTTGAACAGGGGTCTCTCACTCCCCAGGTGAGTGCTCTGCCCGGGGGGCTTTGGGAGAGTCCGGGGGGGCTCCCACAGGCTGTCCTGTACAAGCTGACGGCATTAGCGCAGGGGGTCTGGACCCCGGGTCTCCCACCCGCAGGGACCATTACTGAAAGAGTTACTCTCACTCTGCTGGGCCCCGTGACTGGGATAAACGCTTCAGCAGCGTTCCCACCGCTGCGCTACGAGCTGTACCAGTGGGTGCCTCCAGCAATTCTGCATGGAGCCAGGAGGCGCCACAGGAGAAGCCTTGGGTGCCTAAGGCGGCGGGTTCCCAGTGGGGGGCCTGAGCAGAGATGGGCGCCTCCCTGCGGCCCAGACTTAGGCACCTCTCTCCAAGGGGGCGGGGCTTCGCGTCCCCCTCTTGTCAGTCTCCAAGGGGCTAGTGGCTCCCTGCCTCGTGGGCTGGCTTGTGGCCCTGTGCTTACAGCCCATCGCTCTCCAGGCGCTGCGCGGGGAGCACACGTTGCAGGGACGTTTCTGGGACTTCCTGCTTGTTCGGGGCCCCGGCACTCAGCCTCGTGCTGCTGAGGTCCCTTCGGGGACTTGCTCGAGGCCCTATGGGAACCCTGGGGCAGAGCAGGGAACGGAACCCCGGTCTCCTCAGCTCCCCCCAGCACCGAACAGCAGACCCGTCCGTCCCTGCTGCCCGGGCACCCGTCACACAATGCCGCCCTAACGAATAGGTTCAAGGAGAAGCTATCCAGGGGCTCGCCAAGGTGTGTCCTCAGCACAGTGGCAAGGGACTTCGCAGGGCAGCTGCAGAGCCTGGCGGGGCAGGGGCACACCAGCCCTCTGGCCCTGGAGGGCTGGGACAGGCTCCCGCTGAAAGCCGCTAGGGTCCCAGTGAGTATGTGCGGTAGGTCTCTGGGCTGCTGGCTGGGTGTGGGCCGGAAGCAGGTGGAGCTGAGGCTGTATAAATACAGCTCTGGGGCTGGCTTGGTCCAAAGGGGCGGGGCGGGGGGTTGCCCCCTGTCCTGTCTGGGTTTGCCCCCTTATTGCAGGGGGACTCCTGTCAATACCTCACTCCCTTGGGGGCGTATGGAACCTGCCGGTTTGTAACTGGACTCTGGCACGTGGGAGGGGAGCCGGCTGCATGGGGCTAGCAAAGCCGGGGAACACGAGGAGCCAGTACATGGAAGATGTTCAGCTGAGGATGAAGTGTGAGGAGTTGCACATGTCTCTGGAGGCAGCAGAATGCTACCGGGCTGGGGACCTGCAGGCTCGTGTCTGTAGGCAAACCTGCAGTGCTGTGAGGGGGAGTGATCAGCACTCCCTGCTCTGCGTGTGGCCGAGTCACTTCTCCTCGCAGAGCCTGCCGGCTGGCGAACAACAGACGGGCGCATCAGGAGGCGCAGTGGCTGTGCAGTGTCCATGGAGGGCGGGTGCTAAAGGGGGCCCAGGGCTCTGGTCGTGCACAATGGCTGCTGGAAGCCTTGAGATTCTGGGCTGTATCCCCAGAAGTGTTGCAGAGCAGAAAGGGCCTGTTACTTGATGCTCATTTTACAGTTGTGGTGATGCTACCAGAAGCAAAAGGATTACTTTTTAGCTTTCTGTGCTGCCCTGGGGGGAGAGGGCTTGGACCCCGGCTCGGCTGATGGGCTCTGTGACACTCCAGACATTGACAGACGGGAATGAATTCAGGGGGTGAACGGCCATTGTTGCACCGGGGCCACACCTGTGGGGGGTGATCCGCGGGAACTAGGGGTGATGGGGCTGCCCAGCTGGGGAAGTGTCTTTGGAGTTATGGGATAGTCTCCTGGGAAAGTGGGGAGCTTGGCTGTTTGGGGTGCTTCCTAGGCTAAGCAGAGCACCTGCTCAGGGCAACCCCTGCGAGCGCCCGGGGATGGGTCAGAACCTGGCAGGCCTTGTCCGCACCCCACACAGAGACTCGGCCACTGGGAGCTGAGGCTGGCGGAGGTCAGGCCAGATTTCAGTCCCTCTCCAGCAGATGCCCATGGGGGTGACGTGTGGCTGTCATTAGTGAGCGCAGAGAGGGAAAGCCCAGCTCAGCCCCTCCCCCAGCCTCTTTAAAAAGCCCCCCATGCCGGGTCTGTCGCAGCCCCCAGCAGCCTGCCCGGAGCTGACAGTCTCCTCGAGGCGCCCCCACCCCCAACCCCCACCAGAGCAGGGGCTCCAGTGCTTTCGTTCTGTCTGTGTCTGGCTGGTTTCCGCGCTCGCTGGCAGAGCAGATGGCCGGGAGCCCTGCCCGTGGCTGGCACCTGTGCCCGGGGCGAGGGGCTTGGGGAACATCCTTCCCCCCGCTGCGCTAGCTCCCTCCCTGGGGTTGCCGCCAAGGGACACAATGACAGGCATACTGGAGCCTGCGTCGACTTGCATTTCTCTGCTGGCAGCAGACCCTCCCGCCGGGCCCACATACTCTGCTTCCCACCTTCCCGACAGGTGCCTCCTGCATGCTGCCCCTGGGGTGGTGACATTGGCGCAGCCTGGCACTGCCCTGGGGGGCTCCTTTTTCCCCACTCTGGGCAGCACTTGCTGCCCTCTCCCCCCGCCCGAGAGGCACAGGGTGAGCCAGGAGCCTGCCTGCCTCTCCCCTTCCCCCCAGGATCTGCGTCAGCCCTAGCAAGAGGAGAAGCTTGGCCCTTCCCTGTGCCCCCTTTGCTTCACCTTGAGTGTGAGGCGCCATCTGCTCCACAGCGGCAGTTAAACACGTGGCTCATTGTCCTGGCCCCGCTGCAGCGGCAAACAATGGGGGACCCCTCCCCAGCTCTGCACTCTGCTCTCCACAGCTGGTGGGGGGTCTCAAAAGTAGCCGTGGGCTGCGGCCTGGCTTCCCCACCAGCGCAGGCAGGAGGCCCTGGCCCCTGGGTGGGACTGCGGGGCAGAATGCAAAGAGCAGCGAGGGCCTGTCTCCTGCCACATCTGTTCCTCTGTCCACACCAAACAAAGAGCTGGGGAGGGCCCAAGGCCAGTGGGGCTGGAACAAGGGTTTGGGCAGGGGGACAAGGTATCTAGAAAGCAGGGTATTGGCTGCCTACCCCAGTTGGTGTCCTCTGCCTGCCCTTGGGTATTCCCAGGGTCACTGCTTCTGCTCAGCTCTTCTCACTCAGCGCTCCCGGCATGTCTGTGCCCAAACCAAAGGTGGGAGCTATTGGGAAGGGGCTGGCTGTGGCCATGACAGACTCCACAGCACTTCCCCTAAATGCCCAAGACTGCTGGATTGGGTAGTGCTGGGCTCCACTCGGTCTGTGAGGGCTGCCATAGTGGGATAGCAGCGTCCGGTGGGCACGGCTCTCAGAGGTGCTGCATGGACCCAGCCTGCTGGCCCTCGGGGCCTGTCCTGCGCCCGCACAAACACCTGGGAGCCCTGCAGCCTGCCTTGTGCCCAGCTGTGAGTGACTCGTTGCCCGTGTGTCCTGCTGCAGGTGCTGCCCACTGCCAACCAGTCTGTGCAGACATGTTGTTTGCTATGTCACCGAGAGCGCAAGGACTGGGGAGGCCCATCTCACAACGGGCTGGTCTCCCCGGGCGAGAGGCTGCCTCCAGACTTCGTGCCAACGCTCGTGCAGAACCTGCTGGGAGAAATGCCGCTGTGGATCTGCCAGAGCTGTCGGAAGAGTGTGGAGGAGGAGGAGCGGCGAGCTGTCCAGGAGCAGGCCTTGGCGGTAGGCAGCTGCTGTCCTCTGGCCATGCTGGTTAGGGCCATGGCTCCCCTCAAGGCAGGGGGTCCTGCTGAGCAATCGGTACTAATTGCCACGTGGCAGCAATGGCTGCTGAAGGTCCCCTTGAGCCTGGCACCCCTCTGGCCCTTGCTGAATGCCTATACACATACCTGTCTGCTGGGCATCTCCACGCGGCTGTCTCCTGAGGCTGTGATGCCCTCGGAGGGTTTCTCCTAGCTGGGGGGAGAGCCGGTAGTGCTGGTGGGGAAGGCAGGCGTTTGTTTGTTCAGGATTGTGTGAGAGCTGCCTATGTGGCATGAGGGGCCCCCTGCATGGTAAGGGCAGAGCTGGATGAGTGTGTGTGCCACTGACTTATGCCTCAGTTCCGCGCCGCCCCCCATCCCTCTCCTGGCTGGGAAGACTGGCTCGCTGCTCCCACAGACCTTCGGCTGTTCCTTGGGGTGAGGGGATTTTATTAAGTGATGGGAATTTCCCCCCGTGGCTTGGCAGGCCCAGCTTCTCACCAGAGCTGCCCCCCTCGAGGCCTGATTCCGGGCCCATCAGTCAGGGATTGGCAGCATCAGGCCAACGGAAACCATTGTGGTCAGCTCATCTGACCCCCGGTACAGCCCGGGCCTGAGAGCTGCCCCCAGACCTCCCCTACAGCAGATATGCTAGACAGACCTCCCAGCTGGATTTGAAATGGCCAGAGACTCTGCTGCAGCCTGTGGTAAGTTGTTCCAGTGGTCAGTTACTCTCATCGTTAAAAACGGGCCCTTATTTCCAGTCTGAATGGGTCTAGTGTCAATGTCCAGCCCTTGGATCGGGTTAGACCTGCCCCTGCCTGAGCGAAGGGCCCACTAGCAAATGTTTGATCACTATGTAGGCACTTAGAGGCTGAGATCTAGTCACCCCTAACGCTTCCCTTTGGTAAACAAGGCAGATGGAACTTGAGCTATGGGCAGCCCTGGCCTCCATGCAGAGATGCACCAGGATTCATGCCTGTGCACATCCCTCCAGGGACGCTCTTGTTCTGGGTGAAGAGTGACAGAAGCACTTCATTAAAGGCGCCCAGTTGGTAGCCTGGTGCAGCTGACTGGTCTAGGCCAGAGCTTGCTGTTGTAGCCCTGCTCTACGCTGGAGAGTTAAGTCCATGTAGCTGCGTCGCTCAGAGGTGTGGATAATCCACCCCCTGAGCGACAGAGTCATGCGGTGCACGGTGCTGCGTTGGCGGGAGAGCATCTCCTCCAGCACGGCTCCCGTGTTCTTCAGGCGACGGGAGAGCTCTCTTAGAGCGACAGGTGCCGCTGTAAGTGTGTAGCGTAGACCTGCTCTCACCGAAGGCTGATGTGGAGACCAAGGTGGCAGAGTGGGGGAGACACAGGATGGGCCCCCCATGGCCAGGCTCGGCCCTGGCTGGGGGAGGCCCAGCAGGGAGCCCTGCGTGAGTGAGGATAGATTGGGGGCATGTTGGGACTTGGCTTGGCCCTGGGGAGCCCAGACTAGACCCAGAGTGTTTGGGGATTCGCCTCCTGCTGCTTCATACTGTGAGTTTCTTTCCAGGTCTCATTATCGCACACGTCCTGCAAGTCGCAGTCTTGTGGGGGCGGCTCCCACTCCTCATCTTCCTCCTCCTCATCTTCTTCCTCCTCGTGCCACGGGAACTCGGGGGACTGGGATCCCAGCTCCTTCCTGTCTGCTCACAAACTGTCGGGCCTCTGGAATTCCCAGCATGCCAACGGAGCCACGCAAGGCAGCCCCTTGGGGGGGCTCCCTGCTGCATTAGGTGAGTCCAGGCCAGCCCAGGGCCATATGGGTCCCGGCCTGGCTACTGGCCATCTCTGGGTCCGGGCCTGAGTGGAGTGCTGTGCTGGCTGGCCTCCAGGGGCCCTGCCTTAGAGAGCAGAACCCCTGGGGTTCCCTGGGCTCTGGAAGGGCTGGCTAGGGGGAAAGGGAGCGCATGGCCTTAGTGCCCAGGGTACAAGGGGGGCTGGATCCACCCTTGCTGCGCCGCGAGGCTGCAGCCGGATGTTGGGGGGAGCGATATGCGCTCTGCTTCGGAGCCGTTCCAGAGTCTCCAGTGCTGGCCCAGGCCAGGCTCTGCGCAGGAGAAGCCGTCTCCAGCGCTGATTCCATTTCAGGTGACAAGCACCCCAGCCTCCCGCTGGCTCCGGAGTGCGTCGGCCAGGCTCCCGCTGCGGCACCTGGGCTCAAGGCCTGTCCCTACAGCCACACCGTCCCCCCAGCTTCCAGCGGGGCTGCCCCCGGTTCGCCTCTGCCTACCTCACTCGACTTCTGTACGACGCTTCCCAAGCAGTTCAAGAGCATGTGCCGCAGGCCCACCCCGCCAGGTGTGTACTTGGGGCTCCTTGGCACTGCTCCTTTCCCTCGCCTGCTCTCCCGGGCCAGCCGGCGGCAAAGCCCTTCTCCCATGGGCTCTCGGGTTGCCTGTGGTGGGGGAGAAGAGCATGGCAGGCCCAAGGCCCTGCCCAAGAAGGGCCTTTTCTCATTGCTGGAGGATGAAGAGTCCTGCAGAGCGTGGAAGCTGCTGGGCCAGGCCCCTTCCCAGCCAGCTGCGTGTGCAGATGCAGCTGTGTCCTCTGCCTGTGGCTGGGAGAAGCTCGATGGGCTGAGAAAGTCCCCTTGGCATCCCCTTGCCAGCAGGGAGCAGCCATAAGAGCGGCCAGATGGGGTCAGACCAAAGCTCCATCCAGCCCCGTGTCCCGTCTGCCAACAGTGGCCAGTGCCAGGTGCCCCAGAGGGAATGAACAGAACAGGGAATCGTCCAGTGATCCATCCCCTGTCGCCCATTCCCAGCTTCTGGCAAACAGGCTAGGGACCCCATCCCTGCCCATCCTGGCTACTAGCCATTGATGGACCTATCCGCCATTAACATTAGTTCTTTTTTGAACCCTGTTATAGTCTTGGCCTTCACAAAATCCGCTGGCAAAGAGTTCCACAGGTTGACTGCATGTTGTGTGGAAAAAATGCTTCCTTTTGTTTGTTTTAAACCTGCTGCCTGTTAATGTCATTGGGTGGCCCCTAGTTCTCGTGTTATGAGAAGAAGTAAATAACACTTCCTTATTTACTTTCTCCACACCAGTCATGATTTTATAGACCTCAATCATATTCCCCTTTAGTCGTCCCTTTTCCAAGCTGAAAAGTCCCAGTCTTATTAATCTCTCCTCACATGGAAGCTGTTTCATCCCCCTCATCATTTTTGTTGCCCTTCTCTGTACCTTTTCCAATTCCAATAGATCTTTTTTGAGATGGGGCGACCACATCTGCATGCAGTATTAAAGATGTGGACGTTCCATGGATTTATACAGAGGCAACATGGTATTTTCCGTTTTATTATCTCTCCCTTTCTTAATGATGCCCAACATTCTCTTAGCTGTTTTGACGGCCGCTGCTCATTGAGTGGATGTTTTCAGAGAACTATCCACAAGGACTCCAAGATCCCTTTCTTGAGTGGTAACAGCTAATTTAGACCCCATCATTTTATAGGTATAGTTGGGATGATCTTTTCCAATGTCCATTACTTTGATTTTATCAACATTGAATTTCATCTGCCATTTTGTTGCCCAGGCCTGGCAGCAGTGAGGATGCAGGAGGGTCCTCTGCAGCCCAGCGTGCTGGGCCAGGGTCAGAGCATGGGCCAGGGTGGGCCATGTGCTCTAGGGTCAGGGGTGGTGGAAGGTCCTCGGGGAGGAAGCCCCTGTTCTTTCTGCTCTTCTGCTGGGGCTCAGCAGAGCCTGGGGTCCTGCTGGGCTCTGTGTGCGCATGGGTGCTCCCCTACCTGCCATGCTGGGCTGGGATAGCCTGGTGCCGCTGCGCACATGCTTGACCCATCTTTGATCCTGCCTGTCTGCAGGTGAGGCCTTCCACTCCTTGGACCATCACCGGCACCCGGACCTTGCCGCTCCTCCCAACAGCCCCACGGGACTCCCCTCCCAGCCACCGGCGCTGATCTCCACCAAGCAGTCACCCGCCCACCTGAACACCACCTCACCGCAGGCAGCGCCGGTCCCTGCAGCCAGCCCCCACGCAGCCGCTGCCGAGTCCCCTCCTGCTGGCACCCTCTCGCATGGCCAGGCCTCCTGCAAGAGCCCTCACCTGCCCCCCGCCAATGTGCCGCTTCTGAAGATGCCACCTCCGCTTTCAGGCTGTGCCCACCCCTGCAATGGGCACTGCAGCGGCTCCCTGGTGCCACCAGCTGCCCCGCACCAGCTGCCCAGCACTAACAGGTGAGAGGGTCTCTGCCTGCCTGTGGCTGGTGTGATGGCCCCTGGTGTTCTGAGGGCGCTAGCATGAGCCAGGAGCCCTGCCAGGGCTCAAGTTGCCCTGTCCTCATCCCAAGGAACCAGCCCTTGCAGGGCAGAAGGGCTCCTCACACCACGGCTCTGCAGAGATGGTCTCACTCCAGCACCACACAGCCCTGAGGCTCCAGGGCCTCTCCCTCCATGACAGTCTGCGAGGCAGACGTGGGCTTCGCTGCCTGTCTCTCCTGCAGTTCGGGAATTGATCCCTCTCGGCTCAGAGACCTGGGCCGCCCAGCGTGCTCTTTGTCACGAGCAGGACCAGGAGCCCAAGGACTAGCTGGTCTGCAGCCGTCTGCCCTGGCCCCTTGGAGTGGGCTGGAGCGTTGGGTTCCTCCCTGGGGATGCCTGTCGGCAGGGAGCCCCAGCCCACCTGGGGAGGGGCAGCAGAGAGTGCCGTAGTGGGGTCCGTGGTGGGTGGGGCGTGTAGTGCAGGCAGCTAGGCTCTGGCTGCACCCTCTGGTTCTGGGTCTGGTTTGCTGGCATGCTCGGCAAGTCTTTGCCCTACCAAAGGGCGTGGGGTCCCAGGGAGCAGCGCAGGGGTCTCTTCCCAGCCAATTAAACAAGCCAGTCAGTGTCAGGAGAGTGTCTGGGGGTGGGGACCACCTCCCCTGGGGCCTTCCCTCCCCTGCAAGGTGGCCCCCAAGCAGTTCTGGGACATCGGAGGGGACTGCTCCTTTCGGCAGCCCCAGCACCGTCTGAGCTTGGCTCGGCTGCGGCCCCCAGTGCCTCACTGCCCTGGGTCTGCCTTCCAGCTACCTCCCTCCCTCCCTTCCCCCAGGGACCCCATGTGCAAAGGACACAAGTTCCCCAATGGTACCAGCTGCCACCCGCCACAGTCATGCGAGGCGGACGAGGGCCTCGGGGAGGATGAGGACAGCAGCTCCGAGCGCAGCTCCTGCACCTCCTCCTCCACCAACCAGAAAGACGGAAAATTCTGTGACTGCTGCTACTGTGAGTTCTTCGGCCACAACGCGGTAAGTGAGCCATTGAACTGGGCTTGCTGGCCATGGGTGCTTGGGAGACTGCCATGCCGAGAGCACAGGCAGCCGGTGGCTGGGCTGTGGGCCTTTGTCCTCCACAGGCCTGACATCAGCCCCTCTTTGCTAGTCCAGCCCTGGAGAGCCACCCGGGAGCAGCCAGTCCGTCTCCATCTGACACTGCCCCTGCCCCCTGCAGCTCGGCCAGCGCCTCTCAGTCCCAGCGCCCAGGGCCCCCGTCTCAGCCCAGCAGCTCTCCTTGGCAAACTAGGAACCATGCTGCCTTCAGCAATGAGCTGTGGGTGGGGCAGCCCCATAAGCAGAGGGTGGGAAGGGGCCTGGGAACAGCATCCATCTGTGCCAGGCAGGACAGTAGTAGCCCAGGTTGTCTCTGCAGCCCCCTGCGGCCCCCACGAGCCGGAACTATGCCGAGATCCGGGAGAAGCTGCGCTCCCGTCTCACCAAGAGGAAGGAGGAGCTCCCACAGAAGCTGGGCCACAGCAGCAGCTCGGGGGAGCCGGCCGTGGATCACCGGGACGTGGACGAGCTCCTGGATTACATCAACAGCTCGGAGCCCAAGCCCCTGAACAGCGCCAAGGCCGCCAAGCGGGCACGGCACAAGCAGAAGAAGAAGGTGAGGACGGGGGGAGGGGAATGTGCTGTTCCAGACCCGGTCCAGCGGGGGTCAGAGCCGCCTTGGGTCCCGTTTTTCCCTTGGTAGCGGCCCTGGCCCCGAGCCCCCCCCAGAATAGCCCAGAGTGTTAGACACACCCCAGAGTTGGGAAAGGCCTTGAGGCCCAGCCCCACCCACCCTACCTGGGAGGCTGGATCAGGGTTGCACCCCCATAGGGCTCTGTCCTCCCCACCTCGGAAGCTTTCCCTGTGCTTAGCGCCCTCCCCAGGGGCCTGTCGGGAACACCTCTGGCTCTTTGCAGGGACCTGGGCACCTCTCCCACGTGGGGTCTCCCCAGCATGTGCCTGTCCTGATGGGGCTGAGTGCCGGATCCCGGTGCGGGCCAGGGCCCCTCCTTGTTCTGGGAGCTGGGAATCAGCCACTGGCCTGTGGTGCAGCCTGTGCCAGCCGATAGGTCTCCCCCAGGCCTGAGCTGGTGGGCGGCCGTGCCGGAGCAGGGGCTGTCATGCCCCCTCCAGAGGGCGTATGGCACCCCAGCTGTGCTTGCTACAGGCTGAGCTGCGCTGTGCAGCAGTGCTTGGGTTTGCCGCCCCACGCCCAGGGCGTGCCAGCCCGCTGGGCTTCTCTCCGGCCCCCTGAGAACCTCTGACCCTGGCCCACCGCCTTGCCTGTTCCAGGAGAAGGAGAAAGCCCAGCTGGAGGCAGAGGCCCAGAAGCGGGTGGCACGCGGCCCTCTGGCTGGCCAGGACAGGGAGCTGGCGGAGGAGAAGCTCCTGGAGTGGCCCCAGCTGGAGCTGGAGCGGGTGAACAGCTTCCTCAGCAGCCGGCTGCAGGAGATCAAGAACACCATTAAGGACTCCATCCGCGCCAGCTTCAGCGTCTACGACCTCAACCTGGACGTTGCTGACTTCCCCAAGAAGGCCGCCGTGCTGGAGCAGAAGACTCTGCTGTCCCACCTTAACGGCTCCTCGGGCCTGCAGGAGATCGATCTGGATCTCTCCCCTCTGAGCCTGGGCTCCTCCAAGAACCACATGCTGCTGCGGAGCGAGCTGGGCCCTTGCTGGGGGGAGGGCCCTGGGGAGGGGCCACCGCAGGCTGAGAACGGGGTGGTGAAGCGCCTGAGCGCGGTGCCCAACCTCTCCCGGATGATCTGGGTCCAGTCCCCCCAGCCGACAGACTCTGCCCAGGAGAGCGGCGGGCCTGGCCTGGAGTGCAAGGAGGTGGCGCCGGCCAAGGGTCCAGAGCCGCAGGAGCAGGCACCGGCGGGGGGCAGGCAGAGGAGGAACAAGCGGCAGAGCTGCCAGGCGAGGAAGGGGGAATGCACCGCGGTGCCCGGCGCCCAGGCCGGGCTGGAGAGTCCCAGCTCGAAGGGGCTCGTGCTGGGAGCCAAGCACCCTTCAAAGCCTGGAGCAGTGCCCACTCTGCGGAGGGGGAGTGGCTGTGCGGAGCCGCCGGAGAGCGCCAAGGGGCAGGGCTGGGGCTGCGGCGGCTCCAGGCCCGAGAAAGAGAGGAGCAGCGAGTGGAAAGGCCGGAGGGGCGAGGGCAAAGCGGAGCAGCCAGAGCTGATGCAGCCACCTCCCCTTGCCGCTGGGGACCAGCAGCCCCTGCACCCCGCCACCCTGGGCAGCTCCCCCCAGCCCAAGGGCAAGAGCAGGAAGAGCAGGAGCAGGATGGAGAAATCGAACACGTCCATCGGTGAGTCCCCTGTGCGGTCCCTCTGCTCAGCAGTGACCTTGTCCCAGCTCCGGCCTGTCATCCTGCGCAGCTGAGAGCTGTGGTGAGCGCGAAGCTCTCTTGTCGACTCGGCACGATGCACTGGGGGGGTGGGCTCAGGTCGGTGTGGCTGCGTCGCCCCCCCTAGGCCACGGAGCTGTGCTGCCATAGGGTGGCTCTAGTGGAGACCAGTCAGCGGTGGTGTACCCTGGCTCTGCCCCCCTGCCCTGCACCCCATGGTGTCTATCCATTGCTCTTTGCTCCAAGCAGGCTCTGTGCCGGGCGGCAGCGCGGGCCCCTGGTGCTGAGGGGGGTGTTCTTGGGGCGTGCGGTCCTTGGCGCTGACCCCGCTCCGCCTGGAGCGCTTTGCTGACTGTGTCCCACCGCTTTGCCAGATGACGTGTTCCTGCCCAAAGACGTGGATGGGGCAGAGATGGACGAGACGGACCGAGAAGTAGAGTACTTCAAGAGGTGAGACCAGCCTGCAGCTTTCTGCGAGAGTGGGGCTGGGGGTGCCAGGAGGGGCATGTGTGTATCATCCTGGTGGGGAGGGGCACTCCTGCCCTCTGGGACTCCATGTGTGGGGAGGGTCCCAGAGGCCAGGCTCCAGCCCGAGAGGCTCAGCTGTGCCATGCTGGAGGCATACCCAGAGGAGTGTTCGAAGAGCTAACCCCATTCTCCCTTCCTGCAGATGAAGCCCTTTACGTCTCGTCCGACCCTCAGTGGACATGGAGACCAGCTGATCCCCATCCACTTTGTAATAGCCCCCCCCTTGGTATCAACCCTCCCCCCTTTCGTTGTCTTTTCTCCAGACTAAACGCCCAGTTTTTTAACCGTTCCTCACAGGGCAGGGCTTCTAAACCTTTGATCATTTTTGTTGCTCTCAACTGGACTGTCTCCAGTTTGCTCACATCTTCTCTAAAGTGTAGCACCCAGAACTGGGCACTGCAGCTGGGGCCTCACCAGCACTGAGTAGAGCGGGACAGTGACCTCCCCTGGCTTACGTACGACGCTCCTGTTAGTACACCCCAGAATGATATTAGCCTTTTCTGCAACTTCATCCCATTGCTGTGATCCACTATAGCCTGCAGATCCTTGGCAGCAGGACTACTGTGTAGCCAGTTATTCCCTATTGCGTAGCTGGGCATTTGATTTTCCTTCGTAAGTGAAGTACTGTGCACTTGTCTTTAGTGAATTTGATCTTGTGATTTCAGACCAATTCCTAATTTGTAAAAGCGTTGTGAATTCAAATGCGAATCCTGACCCCCAAAGTGTTTGCAGCCCCTCCCAGCGTGGTGTCAGCCACACACTGTATGTGCACGCTCTCCACTCTGTTATCCAAGTCATGAATGAAAATAATGAATAGTACCAGACCCAGGGCTGACCCACACGGGACCCCACTAGAAACACCCTCCCAGTTTGACAGCAAACCATTGATAACTCCTCTTTGAGCCCAGTCTTTCAGCCAGTTGTGCATCCGCCTTCTAGTAATTCCATCTCGCCCGAACTTCCCCAGTTTGCTTCTGAGACTGTCATGCGGGACTGTGTCACAAGCCCTGCTAAAATCAAGACCTCACGTCTGCGGCTTCCCCCATCCGCTAGGCCAGTGACCCTGTCAAAGAAGAAGATGAGGTGGGTTCTTGACAAATCCACGCTGGCTGTTCCTTATAACCTGTTATTCTCTAGGTGCTCACAAACAGATTGTGTAATAGTTTGTTCCAGTATCTTTCCAGGTATTGAAGTTAGGCTGACTGGTCTGTACTTTCCCAGGGCCTCTTTGTTCCCTTTTTGGAAGAGAGGTGTTGTGTTTGCTCATCTCCAGTCTTCTGGGCCCTCGCCTGTCCTCCAGGTATTCTTGAAGATACAGGAATTGCGAATGGTTCCGAGATGGCTTAGGCAGTGTTACCCGCACAAAATTCTTTGTCACTTGCACACTTTAGGACATCCCACCTCTACCTAGTTCCTAGGGATCAAGGCATAACCTGGTTCATTTAAGCACCCCAACCCTTTCCCAGTTCCTAGGGCTCCAGGCAAAAGGCACCAGACTTTACACCTCCATCGGCTCCGGGCTCTACTCCTCCGGGCTCAGAGCAAACACCCATTCCCTGTGGACTCAGGGCTTAATCTTTTGCAGGTTTACAGGGTCTTTTACCAGTGAAAGAGCCTCTCACAGTAATATCCTACTTAACCTCTATTTATTAACAATCACCAAAACAATGTACATGCTACACATACAGTGCTTGCCACTCCCAATAAGACAGAAGAACTTTTCTTGATGGCCAGTCAGGATCAGGTCCATCTTGGGGACTCCAGTTTCTGCACGGTGTCATTGGCAGTGTTGAGTCTGGCAGCTCTGATCTTTGGGGCTGTGTCCTGGAGTTGGTTCTGCAAAACTTCCTTTTGGACCCCAGTTTATATAGTGAAACTTGAGTCCTGCTTAGCTGTACCTTTAACCAGTCATTTTACTAAAACATTACTAAACAATCCTAACACTGTAACAAAAATCGCTAACCAATCCTACCCCACCACCTAAATTAATTTACACATAGCAAAATTAATTATGTAACAGACAGAAACAACTGAAGAACCAGACAGAGCTCATACAGACAAACAATAGGGAAGTGGGGACCATAAAGACAAAATAATAAAGAACTGAGGATTTCACAACCACAACTATTGATAAGTGGTTTCTTGACAGACAGATGCTATCAAACTAGGTTTTCTTTAACCATCTTAAGATCTGTTTCTTTACCTGGTGATAGTGGGGGCCATTAGGAAAGGATCTCCTCCTTAACATCCTGATATTACATTGTTTTAATGTCATTTAGATGGAATGTGAGGATGTGACTTCCTGCTTCTTAGCTCATGGCTACTGCTCTCTTAATCTGGCTGCAGATAAAGGCCTTAGGCCTGAGCATATGGCTCTAAGAAAAGGCTTTATCTATACACTAGCTCCTTAAGAACCCTGGGGTGAATTTCCTCAGACCCTGCTGACTCAACTATGTTCAGCTTGTCTAATGATTCTCTAACCTGTTCTGTCCTTGTTGGGCTTGCGTTCCGCCCCCTTGCTGTGTTAGCGAGTGTCTGGTCGTCATTAACCTTTTTAACGAGAAGCAAAGCAGGCGGCAAACACCTCCACCTCGTGAAGTCGTCAGTTCTGAGCTCGTCCCGGGCCCCTAGGAGAGGACCTAGGCTTTCCTTCTTCTTTCTCTTGCCCCAGTGTATTTATAGAACCGCTTAAGCCTTGTCTGTCCCTTGCCAGGTGTAACTGATTTTGTCGCCGCGTACTCGTGCTGTTCTTTTGTACTTCTCAGCACTTGGTTCAGGTTTCCACTGATGTAGGATTCCTTTTTGATCTTCAGGTCATTAAAGGGCTCCTCATGGCCTCTGACCGTTTTCCCTGTCTCTCCTTTGCTCGGGCTGGTTGGCAGTTGTGCTTTTAATATTGCCCCTGTGAGAAACTGCCTCCTCTCCTGGGCTCCTTTATTCCTGGGCTTTTCTTCCAAGGGACCTAGCCTGCTCTGGCTAGGGTGGGGAGGGTAGAATCCCTGGCTTGGGTGGTGCTGTGGGGCGGGGGGTGGATGGGTTGGGCAGTGGCTGTGCAGGGGGCAGGGAGCGGTCACTGTCTCTGCTCTTTCCCTGATTCTCTCTCTCTCTCTCTCTCCCCCCTCCCCCAGGTTCTGTCTGGATTCTGCTAAGCAAACTCGGCAGAAAGTGGCCGTGAACTGGACCAACTTCACCCTGAAGAAAACCACTTCAAGTGCAGCTCAGTGAGGTGTGGGGGGAGCCCCAGTGTGTGCAAGGGGCCCTGTGCCTACCCCCCAGCACCCACAGACACTCGCCTCACTGTGCCCCTCCCCCTGCTGGGGGGCTCCTTTTGTTTTCTCTGTGGGTTCCTCTTCCTGTGAATGTGGAACCCCTTCCCCCCAGGCCTGTCAGGCCTGCACCTCCCCAGCCAGTCACAGCTCTCGGCGGGGAGGGGGGGGCGGGGGACTCCCTAGCTTAGGCAGCCCCCTCCCCCGCCCAGTCCCTCTAGGGGATTTTCTCTTCTCCCAGCACTCCGTTGGTGATGTGCAGGGAGCCTGCCAGCGCCAGTGGGCAGCCCCCCCGTGCCAGCCTGGCGCGCAGCCGGGGGAAAGGACCATGCTGGACCTAATAAAGAACTTTTTAATTTTTTATTTTATTTAAAAAACCCAACTTTTTTTGTTGTTTTTTCCTGGCTTCCTGGGACACCCTAAGCCCCCCCCCCCCAGCTCAGCTGCCCTGCCAGCCTGTCACAGGAGATACCCAGCTTCCTGTAGCAAACAGGCCCTCCAAGCTCCCTGGGGGGTCCAGCTGACCCACTGTGTCCCAGCCAAGCTGAGGGTTTGGGCCCTAGGCAGCAGCTGCAACTTCCACTCTGCCTAGGGGCTGAGTTCACTCCTCTCCTGACCCTTCCGCCTCCCATCGCTACCCAGCCGCAGGCCCTGAGCTCTTCCCTGGGTGTGAGGCGCACCCTGCACCTGCTGGGGGAAGCCTCAATGGGCACCATAATGAGCACATTGCAGCATCCCATGAGCCCAGCAGCACCTGCAGAAGGGCCGGGGCCTCCCAGTCTGCAGGCGCTGCTCTCCCAGCAGTGTGGGTGCCTGCAGCAGCCCTCTGCACCCTCTCTGCTCTTGGGTTCCCAAAGGGCCATGCCTGGCTGGGGGCAGAGTGCACCCAGAGCAGCACTTCTGGGAGCCAGGGGAGGGATGTGGTTGGTAGTAGCTGGGCTGTGCCTCGCTCTCCCTCTGGCCAGCCCTATGGCCGAGCGGACCTGTGCACGTCAGGCTGCCGGGCCTGCTCAGGGGGCAACGCCTGTGCCCCGCGCCCAAGTACAGGGTGAGGTCCTGATGGGCGTGCTGCCCAGCCCAGCCCTGCTTTGTATTGAGGGGGATTGAAAGCAGGGCGTGGGTGCCTCAGCTCATGGAGCCTGGGGTAAGGGATGCCCAGGACAGGAGCTGGGGGCTTTCTCTGCCCCAGGGAGCAGCATGTGCACTCCACCTCCCCGCCCAGCTTGGGCCAAGCAGCACTGGGGCTGGGGGGAAAGAGGGCGCCAGGCAGCCCAGCGGGGTCGGACACAGCCTGAGCGCTCTGCCGCCTGCTCCATGCCGCCTCTTCCTGCCCTGTGCAGATAACACCAGATTAGCGCCACCATGAGGCTCCACCCTCGGCTCTGTGGCTCACAGGGTTCTGGTGAATCCCTGGCCCGCCGGGCCCCTGCTTGTACCATAATCCCAGCCTAAGCCTGGTGTGACAGGTCTGGGAGCCACGGCGGGCCGGGGGCTCTGGCTGACGGAGCAGCGCTTCCTAGTCTGTTCTCGGGGTGTGTGCTGAAGGGCAGAGGGATGGACAGGCAGTGGGTCCCCTTCTCCGCACACGTGCCCGGCGTTCCCCACACCAACCTAACCCCTTAGGGAGCTACAACGGAAACAAACTGCCAATCTCTGGACCACGATTTCTGGTGCTACCGGTCCCCCAGCCTGCAGGTGGCTGGGAAGGTGCCGCTGGCCTTGCCCCGCCTGCAAAGGGAGCGTGCTGTGCAGCCAGCCACGGCCAGACTGGCTTCTCTGGTTTTTTTAATTATTTACTTTTGATACTGTGAAAATCTTTCATGCTGAAAGATAAAATGCCGTTTGGACACAGAGCGGGTGTGTGTGCTGTGTGATTAGCGGGTGGCTGGAGGGGGCAGGCCCCGAGCCAGCAGCGTGTCCCAGGTCCAGCCGGGCCCTGGCAGTGATTCTGATCAGCAGCAGCCCGAGGGTGCCTTGGCCGTGACATCATGGCCCCCTCGTGGCACTGTGGGGGGGGGGGTAGATTGTGCCAAACGCTCCCCTGCTCTCCCCTGCCCCTGGCCATCTGCCCCTCTGAGTGCCTGGCTGCCGTCAAACCCAGCTGTCCCATGCTGACCTCTGCTGGCAGGGACTGCATGGCGGGGCCCCCCCGGGGGATTGTATGGGGAATGGGCCAGTGCAGAGAGGCAAACACTTAGCCCTGCCTTGAGGGCAGGGGACTGGACTAATGGCCTCTCGAGGTCCCGTTCTGTCCCACGGTTCTGTGAGAGGGCCCCACGCTAGGCCAAGCAGCGGGGCAGCTTCCCGCATGGCCACGGGAGCACCGCCTAGCAGCTGTGGCAGTAAGGGTGGCCTTCCCAGTGCTCCCATTGATGGCTCTGGCACTGACCCAGCCTGGCTGGCACAGGCAGGAGACTCCCTAGCCTGGTATCATGGGCTGGGCCATGTGCTCCTGCCAGACCCCCTGGCTGCTGCAGGCAACGTGATCAGGCACCTCTCACCCAGCATGCCGGCCCGCCCCAGGGTGCAGGGGGGCCAGGCTGGGACATGGAGTTACACTGGCCCCCGCATTCAGGCAACCTCTGCTGCGATGTTGCCTGACCTCGGGCCAGGTCAGCCCTTGGGTGGGAAGATGGGGAGCTGCAGGAAGTGCTGCTCCAGCAGGAGGCTTCCCTCTGCAGGGCTCTGTGCTGGGGGGCTGCTGGCCGGTCAGAAAGGCGGCTCTCAGGAGGTGCGGCCCAGCCACGCTTCAGGGCAGGTCATTCTGCCGCCTTCAGCCCCCTCTGCAGCTTCAGCTGCACAAGAGTCACACCCTAAAGGCCTTTGTGCCGGCCCCTGGAGGCCATGCTTCAGTACTGGCCGGGGAGGGTGACCTCGAGTAGGGGGTGGGACTCCACCTCTGCGGAGAAAGGGAATCCTTGGGCCAGGAGATCTGATAAAGTACCCAGTGAGGGGGCTACGGCAGGGGGCAGGGCCACTGCTCTCAGCCTGTCCTAACCCTACAACAGGCAGGCTGTCAATGACAGGGGGAAGCAGCGAGTTCACAAATGGTAAAAGGACATATTTGTTCTTTCAGTGAACGATTAGCCATGGGAACTCTCTGCCACATGATGGCAGTGAGGCCAAGAATTCAGCAGGATCCAAAAGGGGCTCAGATGTTTCCATGGAAAACAAGATCCAGAGATATGAGTAAATATGGAAACCAAATGAGTGCTTGGAAAGGAGAGGAACCTTCTGCTTTAGGGCATGAGCCAACCCTAACTTGGTGCGTTAGAGGAAGTTCCCCATCACTGCCATCTGCGGGGCTCTAACTTCGGACCCAGCTGGGGTGGGCCACCACTGGCGGCAGGAGACAGAGCCAGGTGCAGCCCTGCTCTGAGCCAGCCTGGCCGTTCCGGTGCTGCAGCGTGGGTGGGGAAGGCCAGCGTGAACAGCTGCCCCAAAGGTGGCTGGTCGATGGGAGGGCCGTGTACTGACGCCCAGCACCAGCGTCTCTCCGCCTCTCCCACAGCAGGGAGCTGGCTGTGCCAGGCTCGCGGGAGACGGGCAGCACTAGCGATGGCTGTTGGCGTTTTGGCCACAGGCAGCCAGCGAGCTGGACGCGGATGAGGGCCTGGCCAAGAGGAGAGCTGGCAGATGTGGCAGAGCCGGGGGTTGGTGGGTAAGAACCGAGGGAAGGTGGGTGGGGAGGAGCAGCCTAGACAGCCGCCCCGAGAGAGAACCCACAAATTATAGGGGGAGGGGCAGCAAAATAGCCCCCTCCCCGTTTGCCAAAGCAGGTGTCAAACCGTGCCCAAAGAGCTAGATGCTGCATGTGCCCCGTGCGCCTCAGCCAGGGCCACTGCTGGGGGGCGACGGCCCGGTGCGCAGCAGCTTCCCGGCCATGGGGTGGCCCGTGCTGCCTGGGCCATGCACAGGGTTTGAGGTCCAGGTCTGCAAGGAGGGTCTGTTTGCCATAGTCAGACCCACCCTGCAGCCTGAAGGTGCCAGTCTGCTGCAGCGGCGACCAGCCGCGCCCCGGAAAGGCCTGCCAGGAGCAGGGATAAAGCTGCTGTAACTTGCATTTTGGATCAGCAGCCAGCCAGGTGCGCAGGCAGGTCAGTCCTGCCGCTGTAGTGCTAATACCCAGCAAACACCAGGCGGGCTCGTGGGCAATTCAGGGTCTGGGGGGCAGAGATCGGGGTCTGGAGGGAAGCTGGGGGCAGGGTCGGGGGGGCAGAGATCAGGATGGGGGGTGGAGATTGGGGGAAGCTGGGGGTGGGGTGGGGATCAGGGTCTGGGGGGCAGAGATCAGGGTCTGGGGGGAAGCTGGGGACAGAGATTGGGGTGGGGGGTGGAGATCGGGGGAAGCTGGGGGCAGGGTCTGGGGGGCAGAGATGGGGGGAAGCTGGGGGTGGGGGTGGAGATCAGGGTATGGGGGAAGCTGGGGGAGGGTCTGGGGGAAGGGTGGGGTGGGGGTGGAGATTGGGGGAAGCTGGGGGTGGGGTGGGGTGGGGATAGGGTCTGGGGGAGAGATTGGGGTCTGGGGGGGAAGCTGGGGATCAGGGTCTGGGGGGAAGCGGGGGAGGGTCGGGGGGGAGAGATCAGGATGGGGGGTGGAGATGGGGGAAGCTGGGGGTGGGGTGGGGATCAGGGTCTGGGGGCAGAGATCAGGGTCTGGGGGGAAGCTGGGGACAGAGATTGGGGTGGGGGTGGAGATCGGGGGAAGCTGGGGGCAGGGTCTGGGGGGGCAGAGATGGGGGAAGCTGGGGGTGGGGTGGGGTGGGGGTGGAGATCAGGGTATGGGGAAGCTGGGGGCAGGGTCTGGGGGACAGAGATCGGGGTGGGGGTGGAGATTGGGGGAAGCTGGGGGTGGGGTGGGGATCAGGGTCTGGGGGGCAGAGATTGGGGTCTGGGGCGGAAGCTGGGGATCAGGGTCTGGGGGGAAGCTGGGGGCAGGGTCGGGGGGCAGAGATCGGGGTCTGGGGGACAGAGATTGGGGTGGGGTGGGGAGTGGAGATCGGGGGAAGCTGGGGGCAGGGTCGGGGGGCAGAGATCGGGGTCTGGGGGACAGAGATTGGGGTGGGGTGGGGAGTGGAGATCAGGGGAAGCTGGGGGCAGGGTCGGGGGGGCAGAGATCGGGGGAAGCTGGCAGTGGGGTGGGGGGGTGGAGATCAGGGTCTGGGGGGGGAAGCTGGGGGCAGGGTCTGGGGGGCAGAGACCGGGGCCTCGGGGGAAGCTGGGGGGAGGGGCAGGGTCTGGGGGGCCTGAGATCACGGTCTGGGGGACAGAGATCGGGGTGGGGGGTGCAGATCGGGGGAAGCTGGGGGGCAGGGTCGGGGGGCACAGATTGGGGTTGGGGGACAGAGATCAGGGGAAGCTGGGGGGTGGGGTGGGGGGTGGAGATCAGGGTCGGGGGGAAGCTGGGGGGAGGGGCAGGGTCGGGGGGGCAGAGATCGGGATCTGCGGGTCAGAGATTGGGGTGGGGGGGGTGGAGATCGGGGAAAGCTGGGGGCAGGGTCGGGGGGGCAGAGATGGGGGAAGCTGGGGGTGGGGTGGGGTGGGGGGTGGATATCAGGGTATGGGGAAGCTGGGGGCAGGGTCGGGGGGCAGAGATCAGGGTTGGGGGTGCAGAGATCGGGGTCTGGGGGACAGAGATTGGGGGAAGCTGCGGGTGGGGAGGGGCAGAGTCTGGGGGACAGAGATTGGGGTGGAGGTGGAGATTGGGGGAAGCTGCGGGTGGGGTGGGGATCAGGGGCTGGGGGGCAGAGATTGGGGTGGGGGGGTGGGGATTGGGGGAAGCTGGGAGTGGGGTGGGGATCAGGGGCTGGGGGACAGAGATTGGGGTGGGGGGTGGAGATCAGGGGCTGGGGGGCAAAGATTGGGGTGGGGGTGGAGATTGGGGGAAGCTGGGGGTGGGGGGCAGAGATTGGGGTCTGGGGGGAAGCTGGCTGTGGGGTAGGGGGTGGAGATCAGGGTCTGGGGGGAAGCTGGCTGTGGGGTGGGGGTGCAGAGATCGGGGTCTGGGGGGCAGAGATTGGGGTGGGGGGTGGAGATTGGGGGAAGCTGGGGGTGTGGGGCAGAGATTGGGGTCTGGGGGGAGGCTGGCTGTGGGGTGGGGGTGCAGAGATTGGGGCCTGGGGGGCAGAGATTGGGGTGGGGTGGAGATTGGGGGGAAGCTGGGGGTGGGCGGCAGAGATTGGGGTGGGGGACAGAGATTGGGGTGGGGGTGGAGATTGGGGGGAAGCTGGGGGTGGGGTGGGGATCAGCGGCTGGGGGGCAGAGATTGGGGTCTGAGGGGAAGCTGGGGGCAGGGTCGGAGGGACAGAGATCAGGGTTGGGGGTGCAGAGATCGGAGTCTGGGGGACAGAGATTAGGGTGGAGATTGGGGGAAGCTGGGAGTGGGGTGGGGATCAGGGGCTGGGGGGCAGAGATTGGAGTCTGGGGGGAAGCTGGGGGCAGGGTCGAGGGGACAGAGATCAGGGTTAGGGTGCAGAGATCGGGGTCTGGGGGACAGAGATTGGGGTGGGGGGGTGGAGATTGGGGGAAGCTGGGGGTGGGGGGCAGAGATTGGGGTCTGGGGGAAGCTGGCTGTGGGGTAGGGGGTGCAGAGATCGGGGTCTGGGGGCAGAGATTGGGGTGGGGGGTGGAGATTGGGGGAAGCCGGGGGTGGGGTGGGGATCAGGGGCTGGGGGGCAGAGATTGGAGTGGGGTGGGGGGTGGAGATCAGTGTCTGGGGGGGAAGCTGGGTGTGGGGTGGGGGGTGCAGAGATCAGGGTCTGGGGGGCAGAGATTGGGGTGGGGTGGGGGGGTGGAGATCAGGGTCTGGGGGGAAGCTGGGTGTGGGGTGGGGGTGCAGAGATTGGGGTCTGGG